TGACGTAATTAACAGCATTAATCGTAACGTCATTTCGACGCCGTGTTAACGATTATTAAAGCTTTCTTCCGGTCTCGATTTCTTTATTTCGGGAATAATGTTTATAAAAAAGGACTTACCATCGAGCATTACGAATACCTGAATACTCGCATCAGATTAGGTTGACTTTCTCTCTGGATCCCAATTAAGCTAATCAACGACTGATCGATGCCGGCAAAAGGATCAACGTGGGGGCTTAAAGGAAACAGTCTATAAACATTAGGAAAAGAAGGAGAAATTCTCGCATTCTCTCTTTACCATTCTCTCTCGCATTCAAATTTGTTACAAAACTTCAAGCGTTAAATACAAGATTGCTGCTAATAATTAATAAGCTGTTCTTTTCGCTGTTCTGTTCGCACAGATTTGCACTGATTCTCTGTTTATTGTTAGATGACAAATAATATAGTTTAGTGTCAGGTATAAAATCCTCGTTAACAATAGACCTCTAAATCTTTAAACAGGTAAAAGGTCTCTAACGGAACTACCTTTATCTAGTCTGAATACCTAGTCTAGGTTCGAAGACGAGTTTCATCACCCCGTAATATTCTGTCGGCAGTGTCGAGCTCAGATGCTCAAAGTTCGCGCAGTCCAAAATTCACATTTCCTAAATTCTGTCGCACCTCCGCGCGTCTTTTTTATTCTCATAGTCGCAGCCACGTGGTGGTATCGAGTTACATGGCTTTCACTGCGCGCGTTACATTTGGGCAATAATTTTCTTGGACTCGCGTCGGACTTCCTAAAGCTCCCTGAGTGATGGTGTTGTTTCGTTAGCGGTTGATGCAACGATGGATAACACGCAGGCGGACTTTCTATTAGATGAGCTACGCATACAGTGGATAACTGAGCTGTTGCGGACACTCATGTGCGCCTTCGGTACTCTGTGTTCTCTTCAGGTTCGTATACTCCCGCTTAAACTTTTCGTCCGGTAAAGTAAATTTCAGCTTCGCGTACCGAGAAGCGCTTCTCTTCTCTCCCCGTCTCTCTCCCTTCGAGGAGCGCCGGGAGCGGGAATACGCGGTTAACAGAGTGAGTTTAAATTCACAGATTTTTCTCTTCTCCCTCCTCCCGACACGATGCACGTGTTCAGCCTACTTCTTCCCAGCAGCTCGATGGAGAATCGATCTTAAAAAAAAAAAGAAAATGGTGTTATCTCATTATCTTCAGATTGGTCGTTATCGCCATCAAGGGATTCGCGCCTCGTTCGTAGATACGTTTTCTTTCGGGTTATGGCAAAAGTGCTGAATTTTAAATAGAAGTTTTGCTCTTTTCCATGGAGATGTACAGGATGTCCGGGATCTTTTGGAAACGAAAGTTTGTGAAGATTAATCGGATTAAACTGAGAAGAAGAGTCAAGTACTGTTTTGCAAAAATCGCAATAGTTATTAAGTTATTAATGTAACAACTAATAATTAATGAGTGAAAATGACCACATCTAGAAGTTTTTTTTAATTGATAACTTGGGAATTTACGTATTTATTTGCAAAATGCTAAAGGATTTCTTTTTTTTCCTAATCTACAATTATGTGATGGCTATTGTTTCTAGCGATAGATATGAGTGTATTGAATTTTAAACTTTGAATATTGAACTTGTCGCTAAGCATAATAATCATCATATAATTGTAGATTAGATCATTCTGAACTGAAAAGTCATTTACCATTTTGCAAATAAATACGCAAATTTTCAAGTTATCAATTAAAAAAGCTTCTAGATGTGGTCATTTTCAATTATTAATAATTTAATAACAAAATTTAATTACAAAATTTAATTTTTAATGTAAATTTAATTACAAAATGGTACATGACTTTACATTTGAGTTTGATCTGATTGATCTTCATAAATTTTTATTTTTAGAGATTCGGAGAGAGTCTTAAGTGATTCGGACATCCATACAATGGATGATCGATAGTTAGGAGGAGGGTTAATTTCTACACTACTAGCGAATTTGGCCGAAGAAACGCCTTTTGCCCTGCCATTGATATTTCTTTGTATCTTTCCTTTTCAGCATTTTTCTACCTGTATGAGCAGAATTAGGCCTAGCAACAAAACAAGGACTAAACCCAAATTCCGATTATAAGACCGCTAACGAAAACAATTAGACTTGGACTAGCAAGTGTTAGACTAATATGAGATAATCATATTTTTCGGAATACGACGGATATTTCTCTAACGTAGCCGTTCAACACAGTTCACACGTATTTCGAAGTCGAGAGAATCGAGAAGCGAGAAGTGCGGGCGATAAAGCGGCTGCAGAAATCGCTACCCCGTCATGGCATTCACTCGAACCTTCCCCGTAAACTGCATTTTTTCATCACTCGCCGCGATCACGCCTTGACACCCTCGCACACTATTGATATGCAACTCGGCGTATTTTTTATCCGCCACCTCTAGCCCCTTCCTGCCGATAGTATTATCGCGTGTCTTTTTCTCATCTATTCAGTCTCGTATCGCATTGCCACGATCATCGTGTCAGTGTCTCTCCGTGTGCCATAATCGGCGCGACAATCCGCTCCGACGTGTGAAAACAACGTTGCCGGATGTCTAACGATAAATTCCGTCTCACCGCCGGAGTGGATTATTTGTTTCGTATCTGGCGCGATACCATCTCTTATTTCACTGATATCACACGTCTCGTAAAAGTACGGCGCTCGGCCGTATATCGTCCCTACGCGGACGATGCGTATCAACAATTTACCGCTCAACCGTTTCGCCCTCGTAATATTTTTCAATGTTTCATTTTATTACCTACCTACCGCACACGTGCGGTACACGTGCTTTAAACCGCGCGCACGCAGGACATCCAGGAAGTGCGCGCGCGTGTGCGGTGCGATGCACGTGTGATGCGACCCGATGCAGTTCGGTTCTCCGATGAACGTGTCGCGTTCGCGAATCCGCAGGATCTCGAGCTCTCGGAGGCCAGAGCTCGCGACGAGGTCGCGCGCACGGGTCTTACAATTTAACGAAATTAACGAAATTGAGAAATTTAATAATTTAACGAAATTGAAAAAAAAATCGACGCCATCGTGCGCGCGCGCGCGGTCATTGCACGCATTGTGGCCAATAAAACGGACAAAGGACAGACAGACTGGGCGGAAGAGCGAGATGAGGTCTTACGCTGTGTGCGGAATGCAGAAACGCTCGAGAGGAATTGGAATTAGTGAAATTTTGCGTCGCAACGATTTGGCGCGTCCCATTCGCGGCGTGACATCATTTGAAAACGACTTGGTTATAGCATCGTAATCGCGCCGATGTATCTCGCTTTCGCTCGCTCGCTCGCTCGCTTGCACGGCGAAGGTGCGTGTGTGTCGGGGATGCACACAAAAAGCGGTGTCAGTCGTTTTCTCGCATTATCACGTCACGCATAACTTGAACGGCGCGATGGAAATGCGCTACCACCACTACCACTACCACCACCACCACCACCACCACCACCACCACCACCACTACCATCGCTGCTGCCGCTGTCGCCGCGTCATTCGGACAGAGAGAATTAAAGATTATTTCGTCCGCGCGGTACAGTCAGAGAGGCTTCTGTACGCAACACGGCGCTTTTGTGCGACGAACATTGCGTCGAAGTGAACGCTCTCGCTCTCGCTCGCGAGCGCGACGATTGTCTAAATGCGAAGTAAAAGCAGTCTCCCTCTGCAGCTGCTGCCTCGACGCTGAAATCACAAGAATCCCGCCGATCACTTCACGTCATTATGCGCGTTGAATTATCTCGACGGATTGCGATCTTCTTGTGCGGATATCGTGTTCTATTTACTCGTCGAAACACTCGTTGCAACAATCGATATTTAACCTTGTCGATACGAGCGTCGATAGGTCGATAGCAGTCGATAGTCACTCAGCGCTCATTTCTCTTTATCTCGTTAGCAACAAAGTGATTCAGATATCTCGAAATCTTTCATATTTGTCCAATGGCTAGTTTTAAACACGTCAATGGCTAAGTCTTGTTGAAAGGCGTAGTGCATGAGAATGTTTCCTGCAGAAATGCTCTCGTGATCGTTTGTGAGGATTGTGCGGGGTGTCGAGATGAATAACTTGCGTAATTGATACGAAATTAAAGAACATATATATGTTCTTATATATATTTCAAATTACATATTTTTAAATTATATATAATTCAATATTATATTTAATATTAATTATAAATTTAAATTATATATATTTTAAATATATATATATATATATATATATTTAAAAAAATTCTGCGATAATCATATATTACAAATTATGATCGTCGTTTCGATATTTCTCTCGCACGCTTTCCTTGTTGTCCAATGTCGTGCAAATTATCTCTTTCCTTTCTTCTATCCTTCCATCTCTTTATCTTTCCTTCTCAGCTTCCTCCTTCCTTGTCTTTCTCAGTCTTTCTCTCTCTTTTTGACACTTCTTTTCTCTGTGCTCCTCTTTTTTTTGGTCTCTCTCTCTCTCTCTCCCCCCCCCCCGTCTGTCTCTATGCTCTGCTCTCTGCTCTCGCGGCACCTTAGCGACGCCTCTCTTCTCTCTAACAGTTCTCCTCTCTACAACTCTAATACATCTCTCTTCTATCTCGAATTTAGAATTTCTTACACGTCGTTCTCAGTCGCTGGTTAACCTTACGCGGCAAATATGAAGAGGAATAAGGCGCGTAAATGCGTGAAAACGCGTGTAAACAGAGCGGTGTGTTTGTTTTAACAATTGTCAGAGGTTGTTCGTGAAATACGCGCATTCTGTTCAAAATTGAAATCCGAACTCGGTGAGGATATTCTTTCGTCATTTCGCGTCACACGCTTTCTCGGCTACCCTGAATGTTATTATCAATCGATAACGTATCGCTTTATCAATTACATTGCGCAATTTTTACGTACGGTGCATTCGAAGAATAAAAAAGGATTTCAACGCGACTTTGAGCTTTTCTCAGTCGTCGGCAATATGAGAGAAGTGTTCTCATCGTCATCTTTTCCCTCTGTTTCTTTTGCAGATTCGGCACTTTAGGCAACAAGAGGGCTCCAATAGTCATGCCGTGCAACAGGGAGAAGTGTCTTCGTCGAATCCCAACATATTGTCCAACGATCAAGTTGTCACTATTTTGCTCGAGGTATCTATCGCACACTTCTGCTTTAAAGATCTCTTGACAATATAGATAGTTTGATTGTAATGTAAAAAAGATCCGTTATGGTTGTTTTCGATGTATTTGATCGAAATTCATCGACGCGCAATGATAACGTTGTGATGATGACATTGTCTGTTGTTTTTTACAGACAGTAGACGGCTTTCTATTCGTTGTAAATTCGGAGGGCCGCGTGGAGTACGTTACGGATAATATAACGCAGTACATAAATTACACGAAGGACGATGTCCTCGGGAAGGATATTTACAATATTATTCACCATGGAGACCATAACACCTTTATGCGCAACGTGTTACCTATGTCTTTAAGTAGGTATTTTATCTACATCACGTTCCTTTTCTCGAGGAATAGCCGACCCTCGATCTACCCCACGGGGTAGATTGGAGATAGATGTGAGTCAGTAGGTCATGGGTAATCCAACTCACAAAAGACCCTTTTCCTCAGGGTTCGTGGTTCATTTTTCAATTTCTCATTCGTGTTTTGGGACAGAGTGAATGGCCTCGATAAACTCAAGAGGCAACACACGTGCCTTGACAAATTTTAATGCTTCCTTTTTTGTCACGATCGATATTGTTTCGTATGTGTGCTTATTTACACAACTCTTTTTTTAGTTATATCACGTATTTATATCTGCATTTCAATCTCTAGTCTGCTTTTACCTTTTATACCTTTTACCTTTGACCGCACATCTGATGAGAACCTTGAAGATTCATTAATTTGTCGATTCTTTCGCAAATTTATGAAATATTTTTCTACGATCAGAATTGCTTCGGAAGCAAGCGTGACTTGCGCGTCTTCAATTTTGCCAAAAATTTGCCATTAAAGTTCATTTGAGATTAACTGTCAAATAATAGATTTATTTATATCTTGGAAAATAGATTTGGAATACTTAGTCTTCGAATATTTATGAATTTTAAAATTAGATTATTTAATTAGGCACTGTTAAATTTTTGCGAATCCGTTTCTCAAGTCTGATATCGATTTGATCCAAAATATCTTGTATAAAATAACAAAAAAATTGTAATTCAGTTAAACGCTAATCGATAATTTGCAAATTGCAGGCTGGACGAACGATCTGCAGCCTCAGACCAGGAACCGTACTTTTAGTTGCCGCTTTTTGGTGAAGCCTCCGGATGACAAGGACGAGACTATGGAAGAGAAGCAACAGCGTGTATCGAAATACGAGTCTATGCAAGTCTGTTCTGCTGTTCTACCGAGTAGCGCCGATCGTCTGGAGAGTGGTGATGTGTCCTCCGAATCGCCAGACATTGGTCTTTGCGTGATGTGCGTAGCGCGTAGAATATCGCCAAACGAGAAGCCGATTGGTACATCCATCGAACAGTTCACCTTCAAATTAGATACCACGTGGAAGATTGTCACGGTCGACACCAGTTGGTTATCTCACGTTTACTCCAAGTACCTAACTAAGGTAGGAAGATTTACACATACAGCGCGAAGGATACATTTTGGGAAGAAAAAAAAAATTAGTAGCATGTAAGAGTGTTTTACAATCGAGAATTAAATATATTTTATTTTATTTAAGTTTTATGCGTATCTTGCGTACGCGTAGTGCATGATTAGTGTCGAAAAGAATAACACGCACAGCATATTCTATTTCCAGAACAACCTGGTAGGCACGTCGATCAAGGACTTGTGCCACCCTCATGATCTCACTACGCTCACGAAGCACTTGAGCGAAACGTTCAAACTCGGGGAAAGTACGAGCGATCTGTACCGAATGCGCGTTAGTTCTGATAAGTTCCTTAATATTCAAACAAAGTCAAAATTTTTCAAAGGGAAAGTGATGAATGCGCACGATAGCGACTACGTGATGGCTATCAATTCCATCATCGGGTATGTTTACACGCTTGTTCTCATTTATTAGACTTATTAGGCTAGAACAATATGAGCGCGTGTTGCAGGCGCGTCATTATTGAACAACATAAGTAGTAAAAAGACAAGAAAAAGATACAAACGAACCTTAACATATTTACATGTAAAATATACGTTGTTTTTTTTTTTTTTTTACCATTATAGGGAGAATGACCATTATAGGGATAACTTAATGCCTATCGAGGGTGGTCAGCTTTCCAACAACAAATTGTGCTCGGGACACTCTAGCAGCCGTTGTGCGAATAATAGTAATAACAATAACGGTAACAATAACAATAATGTGGGTGGACCAATGTCCGTTGCGCATCTGAATGGTCAAGTGAGTGGTATCAGTGCTCGCGGTATGACGGTGGCCGCGGCCGCCTCGCACGTTGCTACGTCTTCGAACTCGATTACCGTCAGCGCGGGGGATGCCGCTGGCGGCGGTAGTGATTCATGCAACCCCCTAACATCGCTAAGCACGACGGCCGGCAATACGTTCAACCACTTTACGGGAAATGTGGACCTGGATTTCGAGTTCTTCCCCAGTTCTACGTGGGAGTTGGACGGCAGCGCCAGCTGGACGGATAGACCGGAATCGAGAGCGAGTGGACCGCCGAACTCACGACCGCCTTCGCAGCCAGCCCCAACGGCGTCACCGAGTCCACAGGGGACAACCTTCTCTAGTTCGGCAGTAGCGCCCCATTGTAGTCCCCTACGTCCATTCAGCCCAACTACGGTCAGTGCTGCTCACACCTTCAGCAATTCGTTTCCCTTCAGTCCTCTTCAGGAATCTACGCAGACAGCCACCTTGAGCAACACCGTCGTCAGTGGTGTCGGCAGCAACAACGGTGGTAGCGGCGGTAATACCATCACCAGTGGTAATGCTACAACAACTGTGAAACGAACGGAGGAGACCAATAAGATCGGTTGTCCTAACAATAACGGAGGGGGTGGAGGAAGTGGTGGTACAATGGACAGTACCACGGTGAGAACCAGCAGTAGTAACAGCAGCGGAAGTACCGCCATTACCACCGTTGAAACTCAGAACAGCAGTGTTGTGTCCACTGAATCCGGTAGACTCAGAAATTTGTTGACCAAGGGCCCGAGTGCTAGTGAGGACAGTCAAGACAATACAAATAGCGACTCAGATAACCAGAACAAGCATAGGATACTGAAGATACTGTTAAACCAACCAGATGAAGATGACTATAATTCTGAACACAAGGTACGTACGAGTCCTAGCAACATGCCGAAGCCCAGCAGCATGGAACATCCGAAACCAGTCGCAAACAACATGCTCTTGCAGGTAAATCATTATAGTCATTTCAGTTTATCGCTTGAGGCGTCTCCTTACAGCGTGTCTCAAATGTGTAAACTGTATTTGGCTATTATTGTAAACAAACAAGTAAGCTTGCAAGCTCGTAGCTTGAGGCTTTTGTTTCTTCTCCGCGGTTATCTTGATTTATGACTTCAGAAACGAGAAAATATATGCAAAGGGATTTGAAATAAACAAAATTTATTTACAAAATGAGAGATTTTGGGCACATGTTTTCTACTAATAACGTCATAACGTCATGGCATCATGGCGATATGGTAACATCATGGTATCATTGTTTGGACAAAACGTGGAAATGCTTGCTGTAAAATTGCTGCAAAACGTAGCCAATCAACGTGCTGTTTCTCCGAAATAAGTAGACATTTATTTGTAACTCCGCTTCTTATGTGCCCAAGCCATAGATTCATCAAGATAGACTGTGTATTCTTATGGTGGCTGAAGGCAAGTTCTAGTCGCAGTCATTTTGATTTCTGTTAGAACCGAGAGTTGTCACACGTGCCTAAAATTTTTATAAAGTACACTGAAATAAAAAATATATCTAAAATGATGCGATCGATATGTAAGTTTTGACACACAACTTTATACACACACACACACACGTATATGTATATATATATATATATATTTCCATTAAACAAAGAGATTTATCAAAAACGTAAGATCCTCATGATAAAATTCTTAACTGTATTTGGTTAATTTGGTTATCAGTCAAGTCTTGCATATACTCTTCAGTATGCTATAATTCTATCTCTTTGTTTCAAGTTATTGAACGAAAAAAATGACGATGAAGACGAAGGTGAGAAAAGAAACGAGCTTTTGCAACATCTCATGAAAGATCAAGATGGAGAGAGGAGACCCTTTTTTGAAGAGAGAAAATTACAGGAGCAACAGGTATGGGAACAAGTTTTATTTTAATAATATTATATGTGCTTTTAGTATCAAAGTATATACTTTAAAAAGATAAACTCGTTGAATATTTCTATTCTTGTTAAAATAGTACAAATGTGATACATATATATAAATCTGTGACTGCTCGTCCGTTGATGGTATTTTTGCCTTGAGAGGGAGGAAGGGAGGGGAGAGAGATTTTCACATTCTTTAATCCCATATTATCGTTAAAGATAAAATTCAAATTTCTCGTCCAGTATGATTTACTTGACTTTAATATGTTACGTAAAATTATCTTTATTTCCTGCTTATGACTAGAAAAATTCTTTCTTCTGAATGCTAATGGAATAAATTCTCCTCTAACTACCTTACCTTATATTATTTTCATTTTGTTAATCATAATAATATCACTAGCGTACTTAATCGGTATAATTTTTCTTCAAATATATGCTATTGAAGCAGAAGCACAGAAACAAAGACCAAAGAATATATATTCTTTATCGCGTGATTTCCGTAACAAGCTTGAACGAATGAAATCTATGTTATGTTAATAAAGCAAAATCGAGAGGATTCTCGCGGGAGGGAGGATCCCTTGTTGCTGAGTCTTGGATTCCGAAACACGACACCATCTCCGTCACAGTCGGGCGATCACCTCGGTCTTGGCAGTACGACTCAGGTCGGCCAAAAGAGACCGGGAGCAGAGGATAGTGATATAAACGTAACTGTGAAACGGCCGATGGATGGCTCGCATCAAGTAACTTCCTCTGGCACGAGTTCGTCGATCAACTCGAATAGCAAGCTGTGGGAAAAAAATAAGATGTTGGCGTCCCTGTTAGCGATAAAACCGCCGGAGCCAACCAACGTCCCACCGATTCCTGCATCTGTGATATCGGCAACGCCACAGGCATGATATAAATATTAAATTTTTCTTTGTAAATTATGCGTATATATATATATATATATATATATATATATATATATATATATAGGTGTGTGACACATGTCATCCCCTTTTCTTGTTGGCTGAATAACGAACTAAAAAGAAATAATATAATTTACATTAGCAATACATGAAAAAGCACAATTATGATGAGCTTTTCAAAAAAAGTCATAGTTGTATAGAAGAAAAATTTTTAGAAGTATTTCAGTTCATATCACTGTCAACAGTGTTAAGTGAGAAAAATTGAATAGATAGAATAAAATTCACGTAATTATACGTAATTATCGTGGTGTAAGTATACAGGTGATTTTTATTTTCCATATCCTGTTAGAAAAAATAATCTATAAAGCATAATTCTTATAGGTTAATAAATATTGACATCTATTCTTTGATCCAAATAATATTCATTTAAACAGATTAGGTACATTATATATAAGTGAGAAAAATATAATGTTACTCAGTATGATTCAAATTTTGATATCAATAATCATTATATAATATTTATTTTTAGGACAAACTGCCTCGCTTGAAACAACAACAGCAACAGCAGCAGCAGCAACAACAGCAGCAGCAGCAGCAGCAACAGCAGCAGCAACCACAGCAGCAGCCATGGACAGGTGGCAGTATGCAAGCAGTTGGTGGTAATAATGCGATAACGACGACCGCGACGTCGGCGCGTACTCCTCTCCAAAGCCAGTCGAGACAACTACCTCGTCAACCAACCAATACCTACCTCAGTCATATACTAAGTCAGGTAAAGAAAGAGAAGTAAACTGTGTATTTCAAATTTAATTAACTATATTTTAAATTTAAACTTTTATTATTGATGAGTATCATCACGAATTCTTATTGATCTTACCACTTATTGACAATTTGTTATATTAATATTGCGTAATGTTATGAAACGCGTAATCTCCTTGCAGCAACAAAGGCCCCAAATGGGATCAATCGAGTCCGAGTTTGCGGGTAGTGGAGAATACCGTCAGAACAGCACCGATCCAACAAGCTGGGGGGACAATCAGTCGTCGGATCCAGATTTGTCAGAAATTTTAGATCAAGTTATAGACACCTTACCGGAAGATGCTATCACAGGTAATTATAAATGGCACACAATACAAAACAATTATTTTTGATTGCAAAATTATATCGTTACAAAGATTTGTTTTATAATATTGTAAGATTTTGTTTTATGGTATATTCAACAAACTAATTTTATTTTATTTATATTCGATAGGTTCATCTGGGATATCAAATCTCTTAGATACAGGAGAAACACCGCCAAACAATGCCATGAACGAAAGAATGGCAATTACCGCTATCCAAAATGCGCTGATGTCCTACGAGAGTACTGTTAATCCGACGTCTTCCACCATAACTATGCCTGGCACACCTCCAGCCTATTCTACCGCAGTAAGTTGTGTCTTTAGTGATTAGTATCGTTCAGTTTTCATTTGTTTTATTTAATTCTTATTTAATTTAATTAATTTTATTTAATTTGTCATTTTTAATATATCGGGATTTATATCATTCTTCAACGGAAAACAAAATTCCTAAATCGTGTTTCAGTTGGGAACCGCACCCGCGACGACAAGTCACAATTACCAACCACCGCCGATGTATCAGCAACAACAGAGGATAAGGTTTAGTAATACTCAGCCGGGTGTTAGACAGACCACCCAATTTACGCAGCAACAATTGCAAATCCAACGATCGAAACTTATACAGCAACAACAGCAGCAGCAGCAGCAACAGCAACAGCAGTTGAAGCAGAGGCTGCTGCAACAGCAGCAACAACAACAGCTGCTTATTCCTTCCAACGCCACTGCTACGGACCAAATTACCACAGGAATTCACAATATTGATAATCTTCTCAACAACACTGTTGCGCCGCCGAATGTGTCGTTGCAGGTATGCCAATTTGTGTTGCAAACGTGCAAATTATAAAGAAACTAGAAGTTTGATCGAAAAAGTCCTGAACTTCTTTTTTAATGATAATGTTTAATAATATTCATCTTTACTATTTTACTGATGAAACGGTGATTAATGATTATGGCTAAGGCTTCTCTTGGAATCAAAAGTCATTGAGTATCATTTTCCGCACATGATATTTTGAATCAATTTATCTTTAATTAAAATGTCACATCCATATGTCGTTACGTTATTATGAAATATAGGCGATTCTGAAAGACATTTACATGAATGCATGATGTGTGTATCTTCTTTGTTTAGCGATCGAGTGTCCCAGATTCACAAGTTTCTCCAGGTTATGGGGGATCCGTCCAAATGTCTTCTGGTCATCGACTCGCTCACTCTTATTCCCATCCATCGACAATGCAACAGCAGTGAGTGTCTCTTGTTCGCGAAAGCTTTAAAATAATCTCACTCGTTTTGTCTTAACATGATCTCATTACATTACTGCTTTCTTTTGCACAGTTCTATTGTGAACAATTTCAACAATGGACAACAAGTCTCTGCTGCGGCGAGACTTTCGCCACATTCTCCGGCTAGCTTACTATCGTTCTCTCATCCACAACATTCACAACCGTTATCGCCACGGGTGAATCAAGTGAGTGTAAGTCACTGTTATACTGAATTAATCCGTAATTAAAATATTCGTATAAAGTAGTCACGCAGGCAGTATCGATATGCATCAATTAGAATTAACTGTCAAGTTCGACTCTTTTTTGGCAGTATAACTAGAAATAGAAAGCTTCGATTAATATTTTATGTAAAGTGACTACAAGTTAAATGCTCCAATTTTATATAATATCACGTAGAAAAGTAATTTGCAAGCTATAATTATACTTTTTTAAACATTTCTACTTTTCCTATTTTTCCTTGTATTTACTAAAAATATTTTTGTCTTTTATAATCCTTTTTATAAGTTTAACTCATGTATGCGCCAGGGCAATTATGGCACTTCGCCGAGATTATTAGTGAGGCCGCAGCAACAACCCACGGCGCAGCAACAACAGCAACAACGATCGATGCCCTCGCCAGGGACACCAGCATCCGCGCGGCAGTCACCTTTTCCTGCTGAAGCGTTTCCTCCGCCTACGTCTCCGACGACCAGCCAGTTTCCACCAGTTCCCAATACCGGTGCTCCGAACCCTTCGGCACAATATCGGTTGCAACGGACCACGTCCACACCTTCTGCGACAACTCAGTTGCCAGGTAAGAAAAATATATTCTTTATACTAACACGGGTCCCTCTAATATTATTCAGCATGTTTTATCAGAAGATGATTAAGATGAGTTAAGGTAATCAAGATGAGACTTTTTAGATTTTTGATAGTTTGGGATATCAATTGCGTTTTTTCCTTTTTTTTTTTTCTTTTCTTTTTTATAGAGAAGTAGACTTTTAAAATTGAGTAATTTGAAATAATGACGAATATGGAATTAAGTTCTTGATCATTAATTGATATTGTGACGACTAGGTGATATGCTAAAAGAATGAATATAACTACGAATATTGTAGATTATTATTGTTACAGATATTATATTAGTTGTAAGTTATTAGAAAGATATATGTTTTACAGCCAAAGCTTAAAATCAACAGTTTCGCGAATTGCTTGCACTTTGAGCTTTGGCTATGCTAATGCTGTGTATATTAGGCATTAGCATTTTCTAAAAGTCATTTTACCGAAAAGATTTCGCGCTACAATTAGTACAAGTTCTGTAATTATTCCTCATCTCGTTTGTTGCTTGTGTAATTGTTTGCATTGAAAATAACCTTCTTAAAATGTAGGTAAAGTGACTTGAAGAATATATTCTATATATGATTAATATAATGTTTAATATAAACGAGACGTAAGATGTAATGACATGATGCGCTCATGTTTGCTGTTATCTAATTAAGCGATAGGTTTGTTGCGTAAAACCTATAGATATGCGGTTTTCTGGCTGCAACTTGTTCAATCGATTTCGTTTGTGGATAGAAGCAAAGATACCGTCGGACCGATATTCGAGCACTAGTTTTTACACACATAAATTGATACCTTAAAGATCATTATGCAATTAAACGTTATACGCGCGATGGAAGATGTGATTGAAGTATATGAAACATTTTGTTCCGTGAAACGGGTAAGTATATGCAGATTAAATTTCATAAACTATGTTTGATCTATTAAACGGTGGATATGACAAGCCAGTAGTTTAGTCGGATATGCGCATAGATTTTATTAGTATCTTTTTGTGCCTGTACTTCTCGATGTTTTTCTGTAAATAGAGTTGCGTGATACTTCTTTGCTGTATTATATACGAATCTCTATAGAAAGATAACACTTGTCACTCTAAATTATGTTGCAGAGTTTGCCTCTGAGTAATTTCTAATCTCGAAGCAGTGTTTTATAATAGAAATGATTGAGATGCTTTCTTTTTATTATCTATCGTAACTTCCTTATCATCTATTAATTTTCTTATCTGCTGTGTCTCAAGAACGTAAGGTTTTTTTTTTTTGTAATTTAGTTTCTTTTTTTCATTGGTAAATTTAGCTGTAATCTTTGTTAAATTTTCCTTGATTCGCGATATAGAGATTTAGCGTATATGTTTTAACAAAATCAATCGCCGTAAGATTTTTATATTGACGTTTACGACATTGCATATGGAAAAATTAGTCAATAAATTAACAAATCAGTATAATTATTTATTTTTCATAATAACCGATTTAAAGAGGATACAAGAATCTTTGGTTTGTTTCTAATTTAAATGTTAGAAATATTAATTGCTAACTTCTCGATGCTTTATTAATATCCGTACAATATTTATCCGTAGATTTTCGTTTAAAATATTCAACGAAAGTAGCATCGGTTGGAAAGTCCAAAGATTTATATACGAGTTGAAAACGCGAGAGTTTTGTTTATTTAGCGTACGACTGTATCTGCTTCTAGCTTTTAGCCTACGGGATCGAGACATGTTCTCTCTAACATTCCTCCGAAAACGATTCAGCCGATTGTTTAATTTGTTCTACGTATAGATTTCGATCTTGATATTATGTGCGTATAATTGATACTGAGCGTTAGCATGCGAATTATGAAGGTGAACATTTTAGAAGCCTTCAAATATCCGATAATGCTGGTCAGCCAGGAAATACAAGAAGATAGACAAAATTAATGTTGCAGGTGGCGTTGGTTCGCCCCGGCACTACGGAGGCGTGAGTAAGGAACAACCAATTCTTTCACCTAGTCATTCACACACGGCTTGCCCGGCAACACCTACTCAACAACATCAACACAACGCCACGAACACTCAACACTTCACCAATCAACAACATACCTCTATGCTATACCACACCAATGTCAATAATATCAACACGGCAGACATGCAGAACAGTCAGTTCTGTTACGATCGACCATCAATCCCGCACTATTCGTCTGGAGAGGCTCAGGATGCCAGGTCACTGCCTCCCAGTAATACCGTCAATCACCAAATGGGTGGTAAGTCATGTGACTCGTTCATGTCATATGACCATCAAAGCAATCCATTATTCAAAGTATCGCAGTGTAGTCATGTACTATCAAAGGCACAGCGAGAAATTACATATAGAAAACAGCAAAATATATATATGCGACAGACAAACATTGTGTTTTCTGTGCCAAATATACAGCTACAACCTAATATGGATCTCTTCAATCCCTATTAGGGTTCGTTTCCAGCCAAAAGGATACAATAACCTATATAAAATGTGAAGTTGATTGCTCATGCCTCTGATTGTTTACATGGCCTAACAATTCACCTTGCTCAATAAGAGTATATCACCATCACGACCACTTCCACCACCACCACCACCACCACCACCATCAGAAACAGGTCAAGGCATGATAGTACTATATGGAAGCACACATCATCTCTTCTTTTTCTCTGTATCTTTGTCTCTCCTCACGATGTAAATATACGGCGAGTATAATGTGTGTTAATCATGCGTCTTCCATCATGTATCTTTCTCAATATAGACAAGGAATTCTTAACCAAATATTGTACTCAGTTACCATGCATTTTGACCAAGCAGGCACGAACATTTAGGCCGGTATTCAAAGTCGCATCTTATATTTAAGAGCATTTTAAGTTCATCTTCAGATGCTGTATAAATTATTTTATCGGCTACGGAGTATCTGAAAGTGAACTTCAGACGGTCTTAATTATAAGACCCGACTACGAATATCGGCCTTAGATTCTATTTAGAACTATTATTGATTAATAACTCTGGCAGTTACCTTTAAATTTTTATGACTTTATTAGGAGTATTTCTTAAAACTTTTATTAGTTTCGATTAAATTTTATTATTAATTTTTTTATTAACATATATATATTTTTTTTATTTTTGTTTTTATTAGCATTATGCTATATATTTTATATTATGCTTATATATATGTATATACATGTACACAAACATATCTTGCTTAAAACAATTAGGTGATCGCATTAAAATATTTAGTAATTATTAGATATCCGTCAATTTTGAATGAAGAAATATTTTCAGTATGCATAGCAAAAGCATGAATGCTTAATCATATAAAATCATTCATACGCTAATGCATTTTATACATTATGCAATATATACAGATGTTTATCATTTATCAGATTCAGAACGTCAATTGATATTAGGAATGTAGGTCACATATTTTTGCATTGTGCGTTGAATAAGAAGATAATATATTCAATATTTCTCTATAATAACTACAATTTCTAATATAATCGGATATTTCACCTCATTCTCAGAATCTAATATATAATATATAATAATAGGACTAAAATATATAAAGGAATATAACGTATTCAGAGTATTTTATTTTAGAAAAATTGTTGACATACCTTGAGACTAGAGGTGAATAATCCGAATTAGTAGAGACGTAGGAAATAGTTGATGTATTTTAATGTAAGAAGGATTCATACTTCTGAAATAGGTTTGTATATATTTCCATTACCTAAGTACATTTTATTACCTCCGACACTAGTCACCTGCAGAATATGATTTGGCATAATCAATTATATGCATCATTTATGATACACTCAATAATTGAGGATTCAACATTATGGCATCATGTTAATCTTACTATGAGATGCGTAGTTAGAAATATGTTATAAATTGCGTGCATTGTTCCCGAATAATTTTAATGATTGGAGTGGTTGATATTTTTAGGTATACTATTGATTTGTGTTTATAAGTATTTAATAGGAAAAATGAATCACGCGCTAAAATATCTATTTCCGTATCATTTCATACCACTCGTAAACCGCGATGTTTATTCTTAACAGAATATTTAGATCTAGATTATCAACCGCACGCAAGGTGACACCGCAAGATATTTTTTGATATTTTTATATTAATACGTAACATTGGAGAAAATAATTTCCAACGTTTAATTTGGAAGTTTAGTTTGAAAGTAGCGCAAAAATATTTTTTTATATTTTTGTATTAATACGTGACATTGGAGAGAATTAAAATAATCCCGAATATTTAGTTTGAAAGTTTGAAAGTAGCGTAAAGATATGTTGATGTAGGATATTTAATTTCTTGCATTCATGAAATAAATAAGTTTCGCAAAATAATATCACATCACTATTAATATCTATTCGCAAGTCATAATTGTTACGAAATTATGTAGGTAGCTGCCGTAATGATCAGAAGATATATTTTTATATTGTAGGATATATATATATATATATAATATTGGATCATATAATACATGGATACATATAATACGTTACATACACATCCATATCTATATGCACAAGTATACACACATATACACCACACCACACCACACCACACCACACCACACTACACTACACTACACTACATACCAGCACCGATACCCACGCATATACATCCACACGCAATTAGACTCGTGGCTCAAAATTGCAGTGAAATTTTAATTACATTGAAATTGTTAAAGTACGAGGATGCGAAGGATAATATTGTACATGTATATATTATTTATTTATTTTCTTCGATAATGTGACCAGTAGGAAATATATAATCGACCATGTACCATCTTACCCATTCTTTCATCTTCATACTTTGTGTTTACCTATGTAATATAACATTTCGATGTAAAAAAAGTAAATTCGTAGCACTGCTTATCTCTACGTGCTATGGAAGCATTTACTAACAATAAGGCCTCTTCTATGTACAACGCATCGAGCACTTGTAATTAATATGTGTATATATAACGTCCCCCTTTTTTATTTTTTTTGTTTTGCGCATATCTTCCTTATCACGACATCATTTTGTCATACCGTATGCACTACCACTGATCTTGCAAAAGAGATTGAAATTTTGTGATACACGATTTACAAAATACTACATACATCGTGCATTTTCCTCTGATTAAAGATTGAGAAAGATTGAGAAAACCTAATTCAGATCAAAGTTTTGTTAAATCTAATTTCACACATATAGAATGCACTATTTTACAGCGGTATATATATTATATTGTAGATAATGTTTTGTAGATAAGAACCGTTCATTTTACTTTTCTTTTGGAGTTTAGAGAATCTTAATTTTAGATTTAATTAGTAAATTATTCACCGTTAGAAATTACAAAAATCGCGGAAACATCGCGACCAGTTTAACTCACACGTGCGAGAGTCAATTCCTAATTTTTAATCCGAGGGACAATGCACGATGTACGAAAATCAGCTTGTGGATTTTCATTCTGTTTCATTGAGCGACGAGTTGACTCATCCCTATTTTTAATAGAATTAAATATATCATGTACAAAATATAGTTATTTTTATACTTTAAGTTATTGTCGCAGGACATTTGTATAAAAAACAGGAGATTGTCACGTAAGTTCTGCGACCGATTTGGACATTGTTAACCTTTTTGCGACGGCAGAATTGGCCGTGAAATATGTCATCGTAGCGCAAGAAAATATAGGCTGCGATTATACAGCGAATAGAATCCGCGACGAATTGGCGCACATGTTGCTTTTCTAAAATATGTAATGAAATGCGTATTTTACTTGTTTGCAAAAATTATGTTTGCGAAATTATTAATTCCCCTCATTACGAGTGGCCGTTCGTAACGAGGGAGAGCTCCATGAGTGACTTGATGAGTTATATATAATGGTCATGTGTTGTAAAAAGGTTAACGCAATTGGAAACTGAGAACTGCGACACGCAGAGGGGTTATTACACAGTGCATTGTATCACAGCGTGTTGTTTCACACAAATTCCTTTTGTTGTCTCAGGTAACGCCAGCACCTCGGAATTTGTGAGGCAAGAATTGCGGGCGATTGTTGGCGCGCGAACGCAGCAACAGCAGCAGCAGCAAAGAGTGCCCAACAACCTGCAGAATAATCTTTCCGGTCAGGTATCCCAGGACGACCTTGAAGCACTTGGATTAACGCTTCATATGTCTTCTGCAGGTACGTCTCGGACATTAAAGAGACTGCCACCGCTGTGTCGCGTAGCTCCGATGCCAGTTCAGAAATCAACTTTCCAAAAAGATGTAATAATAACGTTACACGATCGTGCGAAACGTCTTTCTCTAGTCGATGTGAGGAGACTTCGACATTTTACGATGGCGATTCCCGATGGCGAATCGAGCCGGGAGTCAAACTTACAAAAAAGAGAAAAAAAGGACAGATAGAATGAAAAGAAATCGATGCGACTGTGTTTCATTAATCCATGGCATCGAGAACCTTTTAAAAAAAAAGTTAAATTTATACATGGATTCATTTTGAAAATGTTGCGATTCTCTAAATTCAATATCCAGCGAGCATTCGTCAAAAGAGTCATTCAAGTGCGAGGCACATACAGGTGACAAAAGAAGAGAAAATGATGATTTGTCGCAGTGAGTTTTCTTGATGGAACACGAGTACTGTGAAAAAGTATTACAAGCAGTTGTACATATACAGTTCCCCTACGTATACCACGCACAATTTTCTCGATTTGTTATCGCACACGGTATTATACTTATTACAGGCTAATTACACTTATTACAATGCATCTCTTTGAGGCCCCCGTCTCTCTCCGTAAGATTTACATGACAAATTTCAGAGATATAAGACGAAAGTTGGACCTTGATTAACTCTTCCAACGGTGGCAGCGTATTATGAAGAATTATTGTGAAGAATCCCCTCTGTTTGTAAACTAATTGTAAATAAACTTTATCCATGTAATTCAAATCTTAGAAAGAGATCGCAAGGTCGGCTGTTTTCTTTTTTTTTTTTTTTTATATGATAATACAAGAAATATTTTAAATTATAACTTTCCGTTCCCTCTTATGGAGGAGTTAAGGAAGCTGCAACTTACATCGAACAGTCTCTCTTATTCCCACGAGTCCTCTTTTCAATTCTCAAGTCTATAATGCCCGACGAGATATTCCGAGCAAATCTCATTACGTTACTTTGATATGAAAACTCATGACGCGATCGAATATACGAAGCCAAAGCTTCCGCCGCGCGTTCAACCGGGGCGAACTCATTTGAATTCTTAGCGCGCATCCTCGAACCCTTCGTGTGTGCTTCGCGGAGTCTTCCTTTCGCGTGACAGACGCTAGAGCGAGTTCTCTATCGGGAAGAGTCAATGTAGATGCTGAAGCGCGCGTCGATTACCATGTGCAATCTCACCCGCTTCTTGTAAGGAAAGGCATAATATTTCTTCTACAAAGACTGTGGTAACACCTACTGTTACAATGTCCCAACTAGGTGAGGCTGTGGTTAGCGATGGCCCCGCAAAGAGCTGGGCCATTGGGAGCGCCGGAAGTGCCCCCTCGTCCTCCAGGGTAAGAACCCCATTCCGACAATATAATTACTTTTTACGTACTCTTTTGATTTTGTTATGCTATGTCTTCCCTCTATGCGCTTGGCTTCAGAACTGATTGTGCACGAAACATGTTTTAATGACTTCTACTCTCTACCCGCGCACTGAGCGTAAAACTTGTAGGGGGAGCGTTGCGTCTTATTATTTTATTTTATTTTTCACCGAGCGCCTGCGCTCTCTCTCTCTCTCTCTCTCTCTCTCTCTCTCTCTCTCTCTCTCTCTCTCTCTCTCTCTCTCTCTCTTCCTTTCTCTTATATATTTTTAGATATACAAAAATTGCATGCCCGTCGTGACTCGTCGTATCCCAGCGAGTATCGCTGCGATATTCGCGCTACGACGTTATTCTCTCGAGTCCTTGTGGTAGTGCCCGTAGTTGAAGTTTTCTATCATTTTATCGAGCGCTAAAGCAGAACGTGTCTCGAACCGGACGATTCGGGATTCGAGAGGAAAGAGAATCTACTAACATTTTATTGGAAGTGAAGAGTTGCGAATTTCTCCGAATAATCTCCGAGTCAGAAAGATGATTGGCTTCACACACTCGTGGAATTTATCGTCACTTCTATCTCTCTCTGTATATTGACTCTGTCTCCTTGTGGTAGATGGACTTTTTTAAACGAGCGTGAAAAATGTTTTCGAATTTCCTTTCAATTCATATCTTTCACAATTTTTTCGTCTTTCGGAAAATGCACACGATGCACGTCGATACGACGATGGGTCGAGGAAAGAAATATAGTCCGACAGGGAAGAACAAAGTCGGGGGGTTTTACACTCGGTGTTTTGCGCCAATGACAAACGCTGTCTTTTTTCTCTCCTTTTCTCTTCCACGTAGTTGTATCTAAACAAGCTGACTTCGTTATCACGCCAAGTAGACTCTCTCGTTTGAGGTGAACTCCACCGGGACGCTAAACGTGTTAATTGCCGCTACTGTCTGCATAATTCAGTGCGCGTTCACACCAGTTGCATTACATTTTTGTGCAAAGACTAATTATAATTCTCCGTCAGGCTACATTAACTTCTTCCGATTATCGTTCCATTTGCGTTCGGCGAGCGTACGACTGGATACGACACCGGCGTAATGTCCTGTTAATTTTTGCAACATATTATTCCGCGAACATGTTTGAGTAATATGGAAAGTAGAAAATAGAAAATAAGTAGTTACCTGAGCGCATTAACGCGCCGTTTTTCCAAAGTATTTTCGTCCACTCGGCTATACGGTATCTGTCGTTGACTTCTCGTCGTGACTTGCAACGTGTAAAGAGCCGATAAGGAATCGACAAGACAAGATACCGCGTAACGATATCGTGCGCCGCCTTGTTCTTCGATTGTTTAAATCCCGGACGGATCGCTTGCTTTGCCGCAACGGTAAATTTAAAGTTGTTCCGGTAAGTTTAAAAATCGAGAGATTTCAACTCGCGAGAACGCGAGAATCGCGAGGAACAGTAGCTAATGAAGGTTCTGGTGGAGAAATTGAAATCGACGAGTGATCGATAGCTTCGCTCTCGTTCACTACCGAGAGGGAGAGAGAGAGAGAGAGAGAGAGAGAGAGAGAGAGAGAGGGAGAGGGAGAGGGAGAGGGAGTGGTTCTCCATTGTAGAGGAGCGCTTCGAATCTCGCGATCTTTTTCCTCGATGTTATTCTTTTCGACGATTCCACCGGTGCTACGCACTCATTCCCGTCTTGAACGCCCACGTGATCTCTCGGTGCCAAGCAAATTTGTCTCCTTTCGTATTTACAGGGTGATGGTGTTCGCAAGCTTCAGCTCGTTCGAAGTAATTAGTAATCGTTTACCATATCTTTTTTTTTTTGTATTGTATAACGTACGTCTCTCTATAGTATCGTAATGCTTTTTCACAGTGAGCAAACTAGATATCTATACGCGCGTAGTCCTTAATTTCTTTTTTTTCCTCTCTGTCTCTCTTTCGGAGAGCGATTGTTCTTGTTGCATGAGGAAACTCGCTAGTGCTGCAGAGAGCAGGTATAACGTATAGAAAGATACTCTAATTTCCACTTTTACGATTCTGTGTGTACCTTCTACGTGTATCGAGTCGTATCGGGGAGTCGTCCGCGACGAAGCCCGACCAGAATGCAATCACGTCGATCGATTTTTCAATGTAGCTTCCACTACTTTCTCATAAAGTAATTGTCTCTGTAACTGCAATTTTTTTTTTTTTTTTTCTTTTTTTTCTTGACCGACCGATGACGGACGTGGGACGAGAGTTCAAAATCACATTCGAAAGTATCGATGACACAATGAGCACAATCTTTGCGCCGCAAAAGAATAAAAGTCTCTTGTTGGTCCACTTGTTAAATGTGGGCCGATTCGGAATTGCTGTCTTATAGAAAGAAGAAAGCCTCTTGCCCGTAGCACGATAACGACGTCCGAAATATTTAATTGGCAATTAAAGCGACGGAGCATTCCGTTCGCGCGGAACTGTTGCGATAGTCAGCCTTTGTTGTGCATTGAGACATTGGATGGTGTAGTGGCTATAGTATGGCTTCAGTACGGTTCTGTTGTTTGAGTTTGTACCTCGGATACCGGAGTTCTCGGACGTGTTTGTTACGCTCAGAGAGGATCCGCGCGTCTGAATACCCGGAGAACGCTCCTGGTAGCGACTCGGACGCGCGGTTTCTTTATTGTCTTACAAATGCCCAAAGAACTAGCCTGGAGAAAAAGTGTACACTGAAAGGCAAAAGGGCTTCGACAGCTTTTTTTCTAGTGACTTTGGTAATCCGTGTAGTTGCGAACTTGAGAATTACTGCTTAAGGACTTATGCAAGAAAAAGAGAGAGAGAGAGAGAGAGAGAGAGAGAGAGAGAGAGAGAGAGAGAGAGAGAGAGAGAGAGAGAGAGAGAGAGAGGTTGTTTATAGCTGCACTGAACTAGTGCAATAAGTTAGAGTGAGAAAAAATATAATTGTCTCATCTTAACTTATTGCACTAGTTCAGCAGTGCAGCTATAAAAACAGACTCATTGAGATTCGCGATCTTTTGGTTTGCGCAATTTGGTTGGTTAAGGGGTTGGGCCACTTTGGTCGGGTCAAAATCGCTGGCATTTCCACTGGAATTTTTTCTGAGGACATAACAAAAGAAAAGAAATACAAAAATGGACATGCATTTATTAAGCAACTCTTTAAATTTAAAGGAAAAACAGTATTCTTTTTTTTTTGTAAATATTTTAAACAAAATAACGGCGTTGAAGCTGAGACACTGGGAGCCCTTTTTGACCGATGCTCTCAGCGGTGTTCAGTCTCTCACGGTTACAACACTGGACGTAAAACAAAAACGAAAAAATTTTTATTTTTTGGATGCCAGAAATTGGAAGTGTAAATACATATGAATATTTAGAAATCTAAATTTTTGTAGAAATGATAAACACATGACAAAATGTTTTATGTTTTGACCTAAAAATTTCGTGCAAAAGTGTTAATTGCAACAAAAGTATTTAATATTTCGCAAAATTCATATAGACACTTCTTCAGTTTCTAACATCTAGATAATAAAAATCTTTTCGTTTGTTTTTTTTTTTTTTTTTTTTACATCCAATGCTGCTGTAGCCGTGAGACTGAACACCGCTGAGAGCGGTGTTCGGTCAAAAAGTATCTTTAACGCCGCCGTTTTGTTTAAAATATTTACAAAGAAAAATACTTTTTTTAAAGAGTTGCTTAATAAATACCTTATCATCATTTATCACCTTATTTGTATTTCTTTTGTTATTTCCTCAGAAAAGATTCTCGGAAATAACAACAATGATTTTGACCCATTCAAGATGACCTAACTCCTTAAGCAGTGATTTTCAAATGTCACTAGAGAAAAGACTGTCGAAACCGTTTGCTTTCTAGCATACGTGTGAATAGAAAACGAATAGAAACGCGCGAGACACAGCTGTAAGCTGCACGAGGTGCACGATTAGAAAGATACTCGAGGTCGATGTTCGACAATGCAGTAGATCGTTCACTTGTCGAATGCGATTTCAAGCCGATTGCCGGAGCAGACCGATCCAAAGTCGCCGGAGGAGATCCTTATCCCTCCTCGTTCTCCATCTCTTGCTCCTGTGCAAACGTTGAATAAATCCTGTGTTTCGTCGATTCTCGGATTCACAGGATTCCCTTTGATTTACTGTAACTTTGTTATCTTAAATTTCGGCTTTACGTATCCCGTTCCTCCGGGAATTATCTATTTCATTTATCTTACTTTTACAACCTTCATCTTGACAACTACAACGGATCTTTGGTGCTGCAGGCTCTCTTTGTGGACTTCACGGGTTTCTACCGTCAAGCGCGTTCGGCTCGCACTGCTTTTCGGATCTTACAATCGGCTTCTTAAATTTACAGATTTACAGTAAATATTCGAGACGGAGTCGCAGAATATTCGTGTGCTAAACATTCCGACTTTACCGCCGGGAATTCACGGTTCCTCGACGTTTGTCGCGTCGTTTCTCGCGATTACTCCTCCGTCCCCCGCAATCGGCTTCGAAATCTACGTTGACGTCGATCACGATGCAGAAACGAACATGATCTTCATAAGGTCTTTGGATTTCAGACTACTATGGAGGAGGTGGCTCGAGGTGATCCGAAGTCGTCGTTGCTGCAGAAACTACTGTCCGAGTGACTGCAGGCCACCACAATCCCGTTACTCAGTAAAGGATTATATGTAATATATGTTTGAGTGTGCGGACAGAGCGAAACGGAGATACAAGGACGTAAAAATACGGGAGAGAGCGAAAGTGCGAGAGTACGGGAGAGAGCTTGAGAGTCAGAGAGAGAGAGAGAGAGAGAGAGAGAGAGAGAGAGAGAGAGAGAGAGAGAATGAGAGAGAGAGAGAGAGAGAGAGAGAGAGAGAGAGAGAGAGAGAGAGAGAGAGAGAGAGAGAGAGAGAGAGAATGAGAGAAACTATAAAACGCATATACACTCTTATACGTAATGGATACTATTGTATTATATGTAACGCCACACACGGAGTCAGTATTCATATACGTATCACCAAATACAATGCGAAACTAGCGCGCGGTGCTCTCTAGAATGTTGCTCGTCTATCAACCGAGAAGGGACGAAGCAAGAGGACGAGAAAGGACAGAGACTGTAAGGGAGAAAGAGAGAGAGAGAGAGAGAGAGAGAGAGAGAGAGAGAGAGAGAGAGAGAGAGAGAGAAGTAACGATAACAAAGGGGATAGAGAAGAGGGAGGTAAGCAACGGGATTTCTCCCCCCTTTTCTTTTTTATTTTTCGAACTCGAAGGACCAAAAGTTTCCGTTTCTGTTTTGGCTGTGTCGAGATTTCTTATGTGAGTATCGAATCGGCAAGGAAATATATCGCAACGAGGGGAGAATCGAGAATCTCTCGAATTGTCGTGTCGCTTTCTCGAAAGGAAGAAATCTCTCTTTCTCGTCGAGCTCGTCCCGACTTCGGACAACGGTACCGAGAGATATACGATATAACGATCGCAGGCATACCGACGAGATAAGCCCACATCCGCATTTTACCTGTCGATAGGTGTGTGTGTGTGTGTGTGTATCATGTTTTGTGCGTGTGTGTGCGTGTCGCGTTCTTCGTCAGTATTGTATTTGGTATATCAGCAAAGGCGTCGAGGGAGAGAAAATTATGTAGGTACCTCAAAAGGTATACTTTACTATACCACTGGCTGTTGAACATAGAAACTATTTATAGGATTTAATTATTGTACACAGAGGAAAGAAAAACAGATAGAGCACTCTATATTCACGTATTCTCCTTAATTTAAAAGAAAAAAACATCCTTTCGACTATTACATTTATGAATAATATATTTGTGATTGTAAGAATCTTCAACCAAAATGTGACAAAGAATACTTGTTGTTGTTAATATGATTATAACTATTATTATATATTATAATAACTATTAATTATTTTATTTTATTTTATTATATTATTATTATTATATTATTATTAATATTATATTATATTATTATATTATTATTATTATTAATATCATTATCACTATTACCAATATTCTTGTTGCAATTACTATATTATTATAGTGTTAAGGATTATTATTATTATTATTTTATTATATTATTTTATTATATATCGATATTGATATTATTGAACTCTTGGAATATTCATATTTCTATTCAATAGTAAGAGTACCTTTATATATATATATAGATATAAATACAGTATATTGTATAAATGTATATGTATATATATGTATAGTGGGTTTATGTACGCGTTATATATAAATAATAGATGCGAACATTATTTATGTATAATCGATATATAAATTGACGTATATTTATATATCTATACATGCGCGATGAAAGAAAGAAAGAAAAGAGGAAATCGATCTTCTATTTTGCATAGCTCGGTAATGATTCTCTTTTGGGTCTTAGATGCACACTAAATTACTTCTAAATGACATCTGTTGTTATATAAATGAGAAAATGAAATCTTCTAATTACATTTACACGCGTATACGCACACGACGCTACGCGTACGTGCGTGCCTACGTATGCACATATGTATGTATGTATGTATGTATATATATATGTATATATGTATATATATATATACGTATACGTACGCACGCACGCACGTGCGCGCGTGTATGTGTGTGTGTGGTGTGTGTGTGTGTGTGTGTAAACGCGTGTACACATACATATGAAAGAAATCTCACGCAAGTGTCTTATTTTTCCAGGAAGTTCACCACTTATTAAAAGTTGGAAGAAATCGCTACTAGAGGTTTTAAACGCGTGCGATTATGAGCTTGGGGGGAATTGATAACGCCGCGAAAACAACGTCGGTGGCCTTTCGCATCGGCGGAATCTTGTTTTTGTTGTTATGCTCGAATTTAATGATATGATGGACATGCGCGGGAAAGCGTGTTTCTCTTCCGTTTCGTTTCGGCGTGATTCTTAAATGTGATTTTGACGGACGCAAGTGGCAATTAGTAGCGTTATTTAGAGTATGTTATTATCTCGTTCGTTATTTTATAGTATGCGTCCGTCACGTGATGTTCTTTAAAATTCCGAAAGTTTTATCGAGAGGGGGAAAAGAAACGCGTTTGATTTTCGAATTATTTACGGAAATTAGCTCGTATCGCTTAATAAATCGGGGACTGTCGAAGTGTACATACAGTGAAAGGATTAAAGAAACAAAAAAGAAAAAACAGGAGAGAATTTTCGTTCGTTGCGTGTGTCTAGTGAAAAGTGAAAATATGTCTAGCGAAAACGCGCGCGTGTGTTGTTGTTACTTTCATTGCTTTTTGACATTTTGTACAGTACGAAATACATTTTGTCCGCGTGGCGCGAGGAAACGAGTACGACGATGACGACGATGACGACGATGACAGTGACGACCACGAAGACTATGACCATAACTGTAATGATGATGATAATGAGAATAATGATGATGATCATGATGATGATAATGACGATGATGACGATGATAATGATGATGATGATGATGAAGCTGTGATGACATTTAACTTGGCCTGCTCGTCCCCTGTTGCTTTTTCTTCCAATCGAAAGCAGTTATAAAGTTGTAATCTCCGTAAAAAAACACACAACCGTGAGGTACTCTGAATATGTACACGTACATACATAGGCATGTACTCGCCTGTGAACGCGGAAATACGTATATTACGCGTACGAGAGAGAGAGGGAGAGAGAGAGAGAGAGAGAGAGAGAGAGAGAGAGAGAGAGAGAGAAAGAGTGAGAGAATGAGATTGTACGAGAAAGAATGAATGAAAGAAAGAGAAGCGGAATGAGAGAAAGAGGAACGGAAAAGAGAGAGAGAGAGGGAGAGAGAGAGAGAGAGAAAGTAAGATAGTACTCATGTACATGTTGTGTATGTCGTGCGTATGCGTGCTTATGTCAGATGTATGCAAGATAGATGGATGATGATGTTTAAGCGCGTGTGTGTATGTGTGTATGCGTGATGCGTGCGTTGTTCGTAGGCATGCTCGTACGCGGGTGTGCGTAGCAAATTACGTCATATAGATAGATCATATATGCTTTCTAATGATGAATAATTTTATAAATATAAATATAATACCGATCTCTCACCGTGTATGTTCATTTCGATGAGCTTGTATGTGAACTCCGTGTGTCCTTACAAAGGCCCATTCGTCTCTCATTAAATTAACAAATGAGATCAATATTGTTGCTTTTTTTAGTTGGCTCTCACAAGCAGGAATTGGGAATGGGTGATGGGTGCTGATGACAAAAAATTATTGGTTTCCAAAAATATCATTGTAAAATTGATAAGCAATTATAATACCGATTTCTCACCGTGGTATGTTCATTTCGATGAGCTTGTATGTGAACTCCGTGTGTCCTTACGAAGGCCCATTCGTCTCTCATTAAATTAACAAATGAGATCAACATTGTTGCTTTTTTTAGTTGGCTCTCACAAGCAGGAATTGAAAATGGGTGATGGATGCTGACGACAAAAAATTATTAGTTTTCAAAAATATCGTTGTAAAATTGATAAGCAATTATTTCGAGGCGTAGAAGGTGAGAATTCGACGGTAGCGTCATCTTATAAATCTTGACGAATATTATCGAATGTGACTCTAAGACCAATATTCGTAGTCGGGTTTTATATTTAAGACCGTCCTAAGTTCATTTTCGGATACCTAGCCGATGAAATAATTTGTACAGCATCTGAAGGTGAACTTGAGACGGTCTTAAATATAAGATCTGACTATAAGTACCGGTTTAATAGTTCATAAGAAACGTTCGATTTAGTGCTGGCACAATTTATAGAAGCTGATAATTTTTTTTCTGAAACTTGTTACATCGTGATTCAAATCTTAGCTAGAATCAGCTTTTTAGTTGAGACTTGACCCATGATAGAAATTCAAAGAAATAAATTTCATATTAATTTAAATTAAAAAAAATTTTACAATGTAAAGTTCATATTTCAGTCTTCGAAATTATCGGAATATAATATTTAATGATAGGGATTTAATATTTAATTTGTAATATTTACTGTTTGTCAAAAAGTAACTTAATTACATTTCTACTATTTCTATCATTATTTATAAGTACTGGAAATTTTGTAAAGAGGGATCGTGCACAGATAGACGCTTAAAGATTAATTTTTATAGCATATACAAAACGATCTTTATTCAATGCGGTATATAGTTACGATAGCGATACAACATACATCACGTTAATTTAATTATTATAATGTGCTTTTTTTTTTTATATATCACGTCAGCGATCGCTAAGTTATTGGCAGTTTACGACAAGACGCGACAGATCCTTTTTCTATTTGGCATACGGCAGTTACAGCTCCACGGCAGCTGGCGTCACTTTTTTATCGGGCGCGCAGGAAGAGAGAAAATGGTCCAGGCAGGGGCATAGACCTTGTAGACAGGGTGGGAATGAATAACATCGGCATACTCTCAGGAGTGCGATAAAAGGGCTCGAGATAAGAATTTTGAGATAAACAACTCGTAGCTTGCTAGTTTCAATGGTAGTCGCTTGGGGAAGCAACTTGTTTTTTTTTGCTTGTGTTAGTTTTTTTTTTTTTTTCCATAAATCATCGAGAATGCATCGATCGAGCCTATTCTAAAAAAAAAAGAAAGAAAAAGAAACGGGAAACAGGCGAAAATTTATTGACACGGTTCTTTTCTAATTTCTTTTCTAGTTTCTTTTCTAATTAACGCTAGGGACCGCAAACGATACCGTGAGAATGCTCTTTTAGCGGTCTTTGTATCCCTTGGACCTCCGTGTTGTTTAGATTATCTCAAATAGCTTACTTCGGCTCCCCTCGGCCTCCGTTAATCGCCTCTACGTGTTTATTTACGCTATCCTTTTCTACCCGGCCCAAAGTCTACGGACCAGAGAGCACACACCCGGCCGTTATATATATAACTTAACTAGTAGAAGAGAAAGAGAGTTTCTTGTTTTCTTATATACATAGGCTCGCTACGCCCTGGCACGTCACTGACGCCGCTCGTGTTCTCGGTATTATGTGCGCACTTCGCCAATCATCCCCTACGGCTGATTGTCGAATTCTGATGGTCGTTCGCCCTGTCTGTCGCGCACGCGACCTCTCCTACGATGGCTGATCAATCTGTTATTAGGATATCTCTCCTGGTTGTTGGGATATCTGTCCTGGTTGGAATATCTGTCCTGATTGGAGTATCTGTTCTGGCCGGAATATCTACCCTGACTGGAATATCCGTCCTGGTTGCTAGGATATCTCTCATGGCTAGGTCGCGTTCTGGGCGGCTGGTTATGGGTCGGATAGCGCGGCGATGGAGGATAATGAACATTGCTCGGTGAACGTTCGCTATTGGCAGTGAAGGGTTTCAGTTCCGTCCTGCCGTGGCCCTCGGTAATGCGCCGACGGATACATACGGCGCAACGGCTCACCCGGGACGTGTGGTCGGCCTTGAGAGTCTGCTGCTGAGGCTTGCGGAACATCTCATTGTCGTGGACCGTCGCCAGCCAGTACGACGTCGCGGTGGCAAAGTAGTTGCAGGTGCCGAGGCCGCGGCACTCGATGAACGGCCGGATGCGGAAATCTTCGAGGCAGGATCCCGGAGAGACCAGTGATTGGCCACCGCCGTCGGCTGCTGCGTCTCTGTGCTGTAGTTGGGGAGAAAGATGCGTGATTTAAAGGTTACTCGTTGCAGAAAATATCTTATAAATCCAGAAAATAATCTTCCTAAAATATACTCGATCATTTAGATTTGACTTTTTTAGTTCGTTGTCGTTGACGAATAACAGGCTGAAGAAGATATGTTTCCTTTGACATTTGATCTCACCATGAGGAAACTGTATCCGACCCAGATTTCCTCCCAGCCACCCGGACACTCGGGTATAGCCATAGATTGACTGTGAACGGCTATCACTCTGGTGGGCGCCTCGCATACGGCGCATCTCGATAAGTATCTACCAACTTCCGGCGCCGGTATCGGTGTCATCATCGTCGGCATCGGCTCGGTCGTGCTGAGCCAGTAGCTGTAGTCGTTGCGATTGGCGTAATCGCATACGTTGTTCAGGTTACAGAATAGGAAAGGCATGGTAGAGAACTTCTTGACGCAGCTACCAGCAGCACCTGGATTACAATATATTTTTGCGGTGACGTTCTTCTTCTCAACGTTTCTTCTTATTAGAAATTTAATTCAGCTTTGATAAGTTTGAATAAATTAACATTTGCGCTTCATGCAGCTTGTATAGGCAATTAAATTAGTAGTTGCTCTATGAAATTAATTTATCTATATATTATTAACCTAATTAAATACATATACGTTAGTTACACACACACATATAAATATTTCAGGATAATGTGTATGTTGTAATAATTATTATTATTTATGTAAAATGAATATTTTACCGAGATCTTGCGCGTAAGCTCGTCCATTGCCCATGGTGTGCAACAGAGAGAATCCTTCCCATAACTTCACGGTATTTCTTGGACAGATTGGTATCATTTCAGACTGCGAGTGTCGAGCAAAGGAAAATCCTCTATCTCTCGGACCGATTCCGTTTGGCGCGGGTGCACCAGGTGCGCCGGGGAATCCTGAAATTGTTTTCCGATTTAGTATAATGAAAAAGTTCTATAAAAATATATTTTCTTGTGACATTATATCGTATTGAGTTAAAAATAATACTATATAGTGCTTCGATGATCGATTAATGTGTGCACCTTTTATTACAATTTCTATTAATAAATATGTATATTTTAATACACATATCGTATACGTTTATACCTGGTTGTCCTTGACGTCCAGTTATTCCACGAGATCCTGGATAACCCTCAGGCCCATCCTCGCCGTCCCGTCCTTGCAGTCCAGGCAGACCTATCATACCTCTCTCACCCTCTCGTCCAGGCAGACCGTCTTTACCAGGTTCACCCATCATTCCCTGTTGTCCAGGGAAACCTATGTAATCGTACAATATTACAAACTCATGTATCTCTCTGGAATAGCACGATCTGTTATTTCTATAAAGGGAAGTATATGTAGTACCCGGTAATCCTGGCGCTCCTATGTCACCTCGAACTCCTCGTCTCGGGAACGGCGGGAAAGGATTTATGCCAAGTTCCCCTTTCGGCCCCTGTAAGCAGTGTAGTTGTTTTCTATTGTATTATTTATTCGAAAGACCTTCGCCACTTGAGGATAAAGTCGTGCGGGAGAAGTTGTCATGTATATTGAAGTAGTTGCGAGGATATTAAAACTCACTTGAGGTCCGTCAGGACCAGGCAATCCAGGTACACCAGGTTCACCAGCGTTACCTCTTTCTCCTTTCGGTCCAGGTAGTCCGTTAAACCCGGGTAGACCACTGTCACCTTTCATTCCTTTCGGTCCAGTTCGACCGTCGAGTCCAATAAAACCAGGCTCGCCAGGTTGTCCTTTGGCGCTGCCTGCAGGTATTCCTGGTTCTCCGCGGAAACCTTTCAGACCTGGTGCCCCACGGAAACCTTGCACTCCTTGCAAGCCTGGTACGCCCGGTACGCCGACAAATCCTCTGAAACCTGATTGGGATATAGCAAGTTAAAAATGTTTTCTTTCTAAAAAGATAAAAAAAATATATATATATATATAGAGGACATGGACAAGGAAATAAAATTGATATTAGATTCAGTCATAAAATCATAGAACGTTCCAATGTTGAAGATTAGGATATCAGTTTAGAAAAATGATATTTTTAGGTTTCTTTATGTTCATGTTCCGAATTAAAAAAAAATGAAAATGAATTGGTCGCAATCGCAATAATAAATGCGAATAACGGTGGAAACCTGGTTCTCCCACAACTCCTTTCGGGCCGCGAATGCTGTCGCCTATATCTCCGGAGATTCCTTTAGGTCCGTTCGGACCATATTCACCAGGAGCTCCCTTTTGTGCTGGACGTCCTGGGACTCCAGGCAAACCATCCAGACCAGCGCGACCAATCTCGCCGGGTTCAGCATATTCAACAACCAAACCTGTTGAAAACAATATAATGGAGGAAGATGCAAAACGATAACTCGATGCATGCAGATACCGATAAAAAATTCATAGATTTTTATCGACAAAGTTATATTAGAATACTGATTAAGCCTTGATCTTCCTGTATCGAGAAGTTTTTCAAAATTAAAAATATTGATTATACACCAACTTTGTTGCATCTGAAAAGAAATGACGCGAGGCATTCTGAAAAGAAACCACAAACTCTAACTCATGAGCGTAAAATTCTGTCGTACTAATGAAACGTATAATTACACTACATACGACGTATCGGTAATTTGGATGAATTGAATACAGAAATTTATTTTTACCTGGAGTTCCGGGAGGTCCTTGATCACCTGGCAGACCAGGGAAACCGGGTAATCCTGGGAAACCAGTGGGTCCTGGATACCCTCGGTCTCCGGTTTGACCCTATAATGGATGATTAAGCAAGTTCTCATAAAGTTGCGGATATCCGATCTAGCCATCCTTTGCTTACCTTACGGCCGAGTACTCCGATATATCCCGACTCGCCCACTTGTCCTTTCACACCGGGGAAACCATCGTGACCACGATTACCGTAATCACCTTTCTCCGCGAAAGCGTAAGACGGTGAACCAGGCTCGCCTATGTAACCCTTAAGTCCAGGAGCACCCATAATGCCAGGTGCTCCTCTGAAACCCACGTCGCCCGGCATTCCTGATGTCGAATATTTTCGGTTAAATACTTCCTTCATAATTAACGGAACATACATATTTCATTGTAATTTCCTGCCAGAAGGTAGAATTCACGTAGAATTTTATTTATGTTTTCTTTTGTTCTTTACTATTTCATTTATACTTTATGTTTATGCTTCATTTATGCATTAAATATGCTTTAAAATATAAATATTAAAGTATAAACGGGGGAAACAAAATTAAATGAAATTAAATCAATGAGCACAAGTATTCATTATGTACCTGGTCGACCCATTAAACCAGGATCACCATCAGGACCGCGTTTTCCTTCCAATCCATCGAATCCAGCGGGACCAATCCGACCTCTTAAGCCTTTCGCGCCGTGTCTACCGGGCGCTCCCTGTAGGCCTCGCCTTCCAGAGAAACCTCTATCTCCTCGCTCGCCTTTTACTCCATCAGGACCCATGTCACCGATTTCTCCCTTAATTGATTTTATATATTGTTACAATTTTCGGGATATGCTATACATTACTATTGACACATAAGAATAGGTATAATCGTGTAGCTGCCACAGTTTAGAAACGTGCACTCTCTCGAATGCGAACTTTCTCTGATAAGGTGTACGTACCTTTGATCCCTCGACACCATCGAATCCGTCGAATCCAGGTTCTCCTTTTTGTCCTTGCAGGCCGTTGAAGCCGTCAGTGGACAATCCTGGTTCTCCTGGCAAACCTGGTCGTCCATCAAATCCAGTCAGACCGGGTGGTCCGATTTCTCCCATGAAACCAGGCTCGCCGATATCACCCTGAGGACCGCTGAAGGAGTTCTCGCCAGGAAGTCCAGAATATCCTTCGGGACCATAATCACCCATGATACCTTTAAATCCAGGCGATCCTCTCACTCCCGGCACACCGGGTTCTCCGATCTCTCCTGTTTCTCCTTTAGGCCCGGGCGCTCCGTCTATACCGTCGGCACCGAGCCAACCAGATGGACCTGATTCGCCAATCCCGCCGACTTCTCCTTTAATCCCTGGAGCACCTGGTGCACCTTGTCTACCGTGCATTCCTTGGTATCCTTGAAGTCCAGAGTCCCCATCGTCACCACGTCGTCCGATGAAACCTAGTTCACCCTTCAGACCTTTCATCCCATCAAACCCAGAGGGACCATCGGGACCTGTTGACAGATATCTTCGTGTTTGCAATTTTGACGCTAAGATATGATTTGTCCTTCTTCTTACTTCCAGAAGACACATCTCCATAGGATGTTTTTGTTGTTTTTTGTTCTTGCGAATAAGTGTTGCTTTGGTACTCACCACGTATGCCGATATCTCCAATTCTTCCCGGCATTCCAGGTTGGCCTGGTATACCTGGCAGACCTCGACCGCCTTGTATACTATCGCCACGTTGGCCTTTGGTTCCCTAATATCAACCACATCGGATCAAGTTGGAGCGATCTTTTTGGAAGCTGTCGAGAAGAATGTACTTACTTGAAGTCCAGGCAAACCCTCATAACCAGGCGCTCCTTTAGCGCCCTTGACGCCCTTTGCAGCATCCTCTCCTGGTCGTCCAGGCAATCCTTGAGGGCCTGCAAAACCGATGTCTCCTTTCGGACCGTACCATCCGCGTTCTCCTATCTCGCCATAAGTTAGATTCGTGCCCAGATCTCCTCGTTCACCTTTGTTACCGATGCGACCCTATAGTACATTATGAATGTTATTTTGTTCATCAAATCACTTGAACGATTTGATGCAGTTAATAATAAAATTAATAATTAAATTCAAGCTATTTTTAAATACATCATTGAGAGATAAGTTCGATTAAATGATCAATGCAATAAAGATACTTTCACTTACCGGAAAACCTACTGGTCCTTGTGATCCAGGTGATCCTGGTGTGCCACGGAATCCTTGATCTCCCGGCATTCCCGGATAGCCCTTTAAACCTATAGGACCTTGAGGCGAAATACCTGGCGATCCAGTCTCACCGGGTAATCCTGTCAGACCTTCGTCTCCTGGGTGTCCTTGGAAGCCTTTGTAACCAGGCTCACCTGCGGAAAACGTCGAGAGTAATTTGGTTTCCTTTTAAACTTGGTAACACCAAGTGTAATACGACGTGAAACATTTTTAACGATGCTTCAACGTACCAGGAGATCCTCTGACACCTTTGAAGCCCTTATCACCCTTAGTCTCTTGAATGTACTCCACAGATACTCCACTTTCACCCTTGATGCCCTTGTCTCCTTCTATTCCTTTTATTCCTGATTCTCCTAGATATCCGGGATCTCCGCGCAAGAATACTACCGGTATCGAAGCGTCTTCACCTTCTTCACCATCTATACCGTCCCACCCTGGTAAACCGTCTCTTCCTGGTAACCCGGGCGCACCATGTTCACCCTATTGATTGAGATTCCAATCGGAGCGATTCGCGATTATATTTTCGCGATTTTTAAAATACAAGAAGTTGATTCTCCACATGGATTACGGATACAAACCTTTTCTCCCTTCGGTCCCGGTGCACCTGCGTCACCAATGAGTCCCGGTTTTCCTCGTGGACCTCTGAGTCCTTCCGGTCCAGGTAAGCCCTTCTCGCCGATGTCACCCGGTGGACTGATGAATTTCTCGTCTGGCGGGTAATATATTTTGCCCACTTCGCCTTTGGGTCCTGGGCTTCCCTCAATACCAGGCCTTCCGCTGTCACCCTCGAGTCCAGGAGGTCCGACCGGTCCTCGTTTTCCTTGTATTCCTTTCAAACCTCGAGGACCAGGTAGACCGGGGAAACCTGATGCACCCGGATACCCGTCCAAACCAGACTCACCGCGCTCTCCTTTCTCACCGGGTAGACCTGCGCGACGATTGATAGAAGAAAAGGTTCTTTAAGATAACTGGACATTTTTAATGTCATTTTTCTATTGTCATTATCGACACACATACATACATACTTCGGAAAGTTTTAAAATGATTCGTCAATATTATCAGGCTTACCGGGTGCACAGACGCCGCAGTCGTCTCCTCGAATACCCTTGACACCTTTAGGGCCAGGTCCACTGGGCCAGCCGTCGGGACCGGTAAAACCCGGTATGCCCGGTAAACCTCGCTCTCCAGTTGGTCCGCGAATCCTTATGCCTTTTCCGGGAAAACCTTTTTCTCCTGTTCAACGATCATATTTATTTGTAATTAGCACACTCGGTAATATTTGATAAATAAAATTGTTGTATTATTTCTCGACCGTTTGGTATCTAGAATTTTAATATTGCGAAATTCTATAATAATTTCTTTTCGGGTCGACATAGATTTTGATTTTACCAGGAAGACCAGGATCTCCACGATCACCAGGAGGGCCTAGCGCTCCCGGAATGCCCGGGAAGCCGTCTGGTCCTGGTGGCCCATTTATCGTTACACCAGGGAATCCTTTGGCTCCCACGATTCCGGGTAAACCAGACGACCCAGGAAGTCCTTGAGGTCCGATTGGACCCGGTAAGCCTAGAACAATTAGAAGCGAGCAACTTTTATCCACGTTCTTCCCAAGAAGTGACAGTGCATTATTAACGTAGCAAGAAAAGTTTGTGAATTATAAACGTACCGTCGTCTCCTTGTTCTCCTTTTATGGACGAACCCTTCGCTCCCGGCAAACCGGAGATACCCGGAGGTCCCGGTGGTCCTGGAGGACCAATGAAGCCTACTTTTCCTGTCTGGCCCGGTGTTCCAGGCTCGCCAGCCTCGCCAAGAGGACCTGTGACGGCAAAAGAAATGTAAAAAGATTTGTGACATTTGAAAATTATTTTCTCATTTAATTTTCTATTGGTAAAATAACACTATCGATGTTTTATAATGTATTTCAATATACTTAGAAATATTTAGTTACTCACACACACACACACTAGTGTTATTAATGCTATTATTCATTATCAATAGTAATATTCCAATATTTCCGTGGAAAGAAATGATACACTGCACGCTTATACCGACCTAGATCTCCTTGTATTCCGATATTTCCGGCGATTATCTCGTCGAGTTCTGGAATATATTGTCCGAGTTCTCCTTCAGCACCCTGTTTGCCTGGCGGACCACGGTTTCCTTCTTCTCCTGGTTCTCCCTTTATGATAATAGGATAACAATGATACGTGCACGTTATTCTTATATTATCATAATTCTTTTTATTACAAATTCTTTTATTATAAATTATTATAAATTTTTCTTCATAAATATGTGATATACTGACATCACTCCCATCCAGGCCAGGTGATCCGGCGAATCCTGGAGCTCCTTTCTCTCCCTTTTCACCAGCTGGACCTGGCGGGCCCTCGACACCCTGCTTGCCTCTTGGCCCATCGTCACCTTGCTCGCCCTTCACACCCTTGGCGCCCTGGAAGCCTGATCGCCCCTATAAAGTAATTGCATTTCATTTCAACGTTACGGTCGATCGAAACATTTCTCGTGAAACGAAACTTTATATATCTTATGATATATAAAAAATATTTCCTTCTTTCCCCACGTCTCTTTTTATAGGATTACTTTAGCAATCCGGCACAAAGTTTCATTTACCCGTGGACCTTTGATACCAATCTCTCCGGTGAACCCTCGATTTCCATAGTCGCCCTTCATGCCCTTTGGCCCAGGTTGGCCTTTCACGGGCGTCGTTTCTTGCTTCTTATATTCGTCTTTACCAGGCGATCCGGCCTCCCCTCTGTCACCCTGTTCGCCAAGTTGGCCCTTCACACCGTAGACGCTGTCACCACGGTCACCTTGCATACCCGGCAATCCGGGTGAACCTGTCAAACCCTGAGGAAAGATAGATGTTATCTCTTCCACGTCGCGAAATTATTATCGGCGAACATAATCTCGCCGATATCTCGTAGGAAAACCACACCTTAACGTAATATATTCCAAGATATGAAGTATACTTGAAATATACGCTGTCAAATAGATCGAGCGCCTTTCTCCTTTGGCGAGTTTTGCATTTTGCGCTACGAGATATCCCAAGTTATTAGTCCGTATATATCCGTATTATTAAAGTCTCTCAATCAGCTGGTCGTGTCTAAAACCATTAAGAGACTGCGTACTGCCGAGAGATCACACGCGATGCCCTCGGGACGCACCCGGTGTGCGTTGACACGGCTGTGCCTATATGCGGCGTACGCATTACACTGAAGTTACATCTAGCGTGGCAGAGCGTAAGTGCATGTATTATATATATGTGCATTATAACTCCATTATAATGCTAATTTCAGCGCACCTCCCGGTACCGTCCCTGTTTATTTTTACTCACGAGCAAAATGGAGCTGCAGCACGCGCACATTTCGCGGAATCATTTTTATCGTCGCGAAGCGTGATATTCGGCCACATTAACGTGCACAATTACATCGTGCAGAATTTAGATTGCAGAAGACAAAAAGATATAACGAAGAATAAAATATAGCAGATCGATATGGACGCGAACCGGTGCGCGTCCAAAGAAAGGGTGATGAATTTTTCGGATTCCAGCGCGATTAATCGGCTCGTTCCTCGCGCGCTCGAATGGGAGGTGACGCGACTCGAGGTTCAACGCCATTAAAAGATCGCTTGTACAATTGCGGGATGCAATTAACGCGTTGTCAATGAGGAAACCGGTTTTCGGTAGCCGATTGTCTTCCTCGGTGGCGCGATGGTTTTTTGCTCCGTGGGTTAAAGCGAGGATGGAGAATCCATGCTCGTCAGGTTTCTCAGAAGCCGCAGGAAGATTCGCCACGCGGGATCTTCTTCTCCTCTTCTGCTTCTCCTCGAGAGGAGACAGCAGTCGCGCTATCAGCGACAGACGTGTCAGCAGATAGCGGCCGGCGACGCTTCGGATTTCAACGGATCGTTTCGTATTTAGCGATTAAGTACGGGGCACTCTCGCACATTTTAGCACAGTTTCTTTCTTTTGCGCTTCCTCGCATTCCTGTCTGGCACCACCCTCGGGAGGTGGTGATACGGTCGAAGTAACTCCTAACGTTTGCAAAAATTCTCGAGAGTCTCGCCGAGAGAAAAAGAAGGAAACGTTAAGCGTTTGAGCGTCGAATAATTTCTTCCGCTCCGAGCGAAATAACGCGATTCGACCGACGATTACTCGGGGACACGTATTAGGAACACGCAGGGACTCGTTCCGAATTTCTGCGATTTGTCATGCGTTAAGCAACGTCGTCGTTACCTTCTCCCTGAAGAGGTGCTCGAAGTCATGAGCCCTTCTCTGATGAGAGAAAGAGAGAAAGAGGAAACTTAGCGCTCGTTCGGTTAATAAGTTGCGCCGAGCAAATTGCAAACGAGCAAAGCTCTTCTCCTCTTCCTACTTCGCAGTGGCGAAAGTAGCTGATAAGTAGTGCGTATATAACGTAAAGTAGTATGTAAGTACACACAAGCTGGGAACGCTAAACCTCTTTGTAAAAGGTTGCCCTGATGTGCTTCGGGGAATACGTGTAACGCGGCGCACGTAATTCAATCTTACGGGAGTAACCCGGAATACTGCGCGGATAACTTTCGCGAGACCATCGCGTCTGCCACGCATCTGAAGAATTCGCAGAATTTCCATGCCCGGTCTTCGCGACCGAATTGCGACCACGTGTGATATATCCCATTGCATATTGCGCCCTTCTTGTCGCAGTCGCTTCTCGAGAGGCAAGGAGAGAGAGAGAGAGAGAGAGAGAGAGAGAGAAAGAGAGAGAGAGAGAGAGAGAGAGAGAGAGAGAGGTGACGACCCGACGCCCAACCTACTTTTCTCAAAGTGTGCCAATTTCCACCACCGTCCTTCGCCATCAATTTTTATTTTTAAGCTTATAATTTCACGCGTGGTGACTATTACCAGACTTCTGTATCTTGAAGAGAGAGAAAGTGCCGAGCGTAAAACAACCGCGATTGGCGATTGGCAACTAAAGTTACCTGTAGGGGTTGCCAGATGGCCGGGATTTCCGGGAATATCCTGGAATTCTTAAGCTTGTCCCGTCCAGGAATTTTAAGTCTTCTGTCCCGGAAAATCAGAATGTCAACAAAATCATAATCGTAACGTTCATATTTCTGGCTGGTATACCACAAAGAAACCTGAGAGCGGTTTACAGAGTCGAATTTTTCGACGTGCCACCTAAGAAAATCGATATCGACTGAGCCATTCGCGCGATAAAAAATACAATCACACGGTTTATGTCCAAACTTCTCTCTGCTGCTACCTAATTCGCGCATTTGCTTGTCGCGAGTGCACAGCGGCGTCTCTTGGCCGTCTTACCCCTCTATCTCCCAAATTTCTAAAATTCTCTAACAACCTATTTTTCAACTGTCGCCTAAAAAATGTCTCGAATAGTCATTTCGCAACCCTAGTTACCTGCAGTGATTACCGCTTGCTCACACCGTCTCTAATTGTTCGCAAAAAAAAAAAAAAAAGAAGGGAAAAGCGAGATATTTCGCCGTGCACGCACAATGACGGCCCTTTTATTCCGAGCATTCGCTCCGCGACCGGTCTGGCACATTTTCACATAAAGCTCAGTCAAGCGTCCGCGCTTACGTTCCACAGCGACGTTTAAGCCGCGGCGTGTAAGAAGATTCCTCGCCGCGGCGGCGGTTATCGCGCGATATCGCGGCGCGGAGCCCTTTTCGGATTCTTTCCGCCTCTACCCTTTCCCCTTTAGCCGGTACCCCGTTAAATATTGCCAGAGAATACTTCGGCCGGCAGACGATATTTCATGCGAGCAGGTGGCGTCTCGCAAAAAGGAACGAGAGACAGAGAGAGAGAGAGAGAGAGAGAGAGAGAGAGAGAGAGAGAGAGAGAGAGAGAGAGAGAGAGAGAGAGAGGAGGAAGCGGCGGCGGCATCCCGAGAGCAGTCTCTCCTCTCTCGCGCGCCTCCTTCACTTCTCGTGCCGCTCTTCGGGGACGACCTAAACGTTCGTGCGAGGTTCACCGGCTCTCGAGTCGGCACCGATCGACCGCGTTACGGTACCTTAAACAACCGGCGCGGCGAGGAGAAATATATATATATATTTCTCCTCGTACATATATATATATATATATATATGTATATATGTACATACACATACAAATATATGTACAACGCGGTTTCGTTGTTACTTACGAAGTCGCCGGTGTCACCTGGATAACCCACTTCGCCGGTAAGCCCATACGCTCCTGGATAACCCTGGAAATGTGATCAGAGGAGGAGCCGTTAGAGGATCGAGGATACCGCAGTGACGAGAGAGAGGATTATTCAACGGCAGCCATCTACGACACCGTCGTAGCAGCTCGCGCGAAATCACGGTGTGATAACGTATCACGAACGGAGGGAAGGGGGTTATTTCGGGATTAATTGTACCAGAGTCCGGTAATTCGGTTGCGAATGGCACGAACGCGTGTGACGATTGTGATGCCGTATGTACATGGTAGAAATCCACTGTATGCCCCGCCTGTCAATGCGCGGCCATCGGCCATGCACGCGCATGTCGTTGTTAACCCTTTGAGGCACGTATTTTTCAGAAAATCCGAATCACATGAAAATTTATATACAGGGATTTCTGGGGTCGCTGATGACGAATCCGTTATCAGATTTTCGAAATTCAAGCTGGCGGGTCCAAAATGGCGGACGCAAAAATGAAAAATTAACTAACCGGAAGACAATGTCAGGTAAATGCATTAGAATTTCATGATCCGCCAACTTGAATCTGCAATCTTGAACAATGAGTTTTGGACCTCGGATTCGTAATCAGCGACCTTGAAGGCTAATCAAAGTACAATTTCAGCTAATCATATAAAAATTGTATGAACCGCCATCTGGAATCCGCCATCTTGGAAAATGAATTTTAAAGTGTGGACCTCAGATTCGTAATCAGCGACCTCAAAAACTAACCAGAGTACAATTTTAGCTGATTTAATAAAAATTCTATGATTCGCCATCTTGAATCCGCCATCTTGGAAAATTAATTTTGGAATTTGGACCTCAGATTCGTAATCAGCGATCCAAAAGACCCCCAAATCTTGATTCTGAGCAAAAGATTCACTCGTAGTTCGTGGAAAATGATTCTTTTCTGTAAAAATGTGTATTTTTCACACTTTGTTTATTTATAATAAATGGACAACTTGTGCAAAACACTTTTCAACCTTTCACATATGTTCCCATATCATGTAAGAAGCTAAAAAACGCAAAAGACCCGACAAGAATCCCTCAAACATGAAATATTTCGTGAAAATGTGAAAATAAACAGCATGGCAAGTATATACTTAACCACTATGCCTCAAAGGGTTAATGGCTCGAGATTTAATAACAACAATCGGCGACACGGAAAGGGACACAATCGCGTAATAACCACGCGGCGGTCTAATCCAATCGTCGACACGCTTCGTCTCGTTCATCGCGACCAGCCGACATCTCTGGAATCTCATCGCGCGGCGGATGCGAACGGCCAGGGTAGACGACAGTAATAATAGAATCAAGGATACGATCCTTGAAGAGAGGATTCTTTTCAAGATATACGATCGACCTGTTAACGGCGATCACATCAAACGCGAAATGCACTCACCTGCGGCCCGTCCACGCCGGGATTCCCGCGGATTCCTTTGGCACCGACCGAATTGATGCCTCCGTCGCCGGGCTCTCCCGGGTAACCGTAATCTCCTATCGGTCCTATCGGGCCGCGCGGCCCGTAAAGTCCGGGTATACCTGGTGCACCCTCGCGACCGTCCGTACCGTTGCACCCGTCCAGCCCGTCCGGGCCCATCACGCCGGGTATACCGGGGTGACCCTAAACGACATTCGTCATGGTCTTGCTGAGTAATCCTTTTGTGCGGATCGCGACTGCATCGTCGGTAACACGAGCAAACGAAGCGCCGCGCCGGTGCTTCGTTAAATCGACCTGGCGATTTATCAGCTTTTTTTTTTTCACGGTATAGCAAGATAGCGCGTCCTGTTAGGGTACTTAGATTATTACTTATTTGGATCTTTGCATCTAGTCGCTAGATTGGAGGTTTTTTACATTTGCGTTGGAAAGCGTTGGGGCGTTGGAAAAGCGCCAAGCAGTTGGTCCCGAGTAGTTACAGAGTTAACATCCGCTTCCCCTTTTGTCCGGGGAAGTACTATGAGTTTTTGGAGGTGGAGGCGAAATATAAGGCCGACGCTCGATTATCGATGCGGTAAAGCGCGCGCGGCTCCCGTTATGAATTTTCTTGTTTTCTCTTATACGCTGCGCGAACTTCAATCCGGTTTTATCGCGACGACTTTGGCGTTTTATTGAGGTCTACCACAAGGAGCGATAAAGCGGTTTATACGTACGGAGCGTCCCGGACTTCCTTCGAATCCTGGTATACCTTCTTCACCCTGAACAGAAATAAGAAGAGTTAAGTGCACTGTTTTTCACAGTTTCCTACGACTCCGGCGGAGCCGATACGTTGCTGGCGTGTAATTTTCATTCGCACGATACAGCGAGGTAATGTCAAATTTATATCCGGAACGTAAATGGAGAGAAGGTTGATCTTAGATTTCATCCGCAAGGTCTCACCACCTTGCGGAGTATCGCGCAATTTTGCTAATGTAGATGTTATTGCAATTAGGTCCAGTTCGTGTGGCGCGTGAGAGAGTTAGCGGAGTCTGATTATAACCAGACCAACTAATAATTATTAGTGATGTACGCTGCAAAATGGCGGATTATTAACAACAGTAACTAATTGGACTAATTGACCACGCGTCAAGAGATCTTCACTCGCCGCCAATTTCCCCTCCCGCTTTCACCGACGACGAGGAGAACCACCGTCCGACACTTGGCAGACTTTTACTTTTCGCTACCGGTTTCAGCGTCGAAAACACCTTCGGCAAACAATCTCTCGCCTCGCGACGCGCCCAAGTTGCGCGCGCGGATCTCCGCGCGGCGAGTTTCATCGCGATTCAACTTCGCGCTCGCGACGATTACGTCGCTCGCGGGACTTACCTTATCAATCGATACTCCCTGCCCCCCTGCCCCCCTCCCCCCTCCTCAATTCATCTTGCGCCGCAGATGCGAATATATTGTCTCTCGCAATCTCGACCGAGACCGTCGAACTTACGCGGAGCGCCGAACCGATCGATCTCCATTATCTCCGCGCTCAATCATAATTAACGTCGCCGTCGCGCTCAAGTAGATCTCTCGGTAACGCGCCGCGAGAGCGCGCCGTCGCAATCGCAGATATTACTACATCGCATCCTTGATTCGGCAGAAGGTCGCTCTCGAGTTGCGCCGCGGCGCGGCGTAATGCGAAGAGGAGAGAGAGCGCGCGCGCGCGCTCGCTCGCTCGCTCGCAGCAGCGGGTGTCAAGATCGTAAAAAATGCGTCGCAGAGAGGAGCGCGCACGCGAAACGCGAGCGCGCGCATGCAAAAGCGTCTCCTCCGCGGCTGCTGCAAAATATAAGCGCGCCGTCGTCGACGTCCATTACGCTCAATTCCAGTTGGGCAAAGAGCGGCGACGATAACGCGCCGGCATCGGCACGTTTTCGCTTAATTAACGAGCCACCGAGGCGTTTCGCCTGTTGTCGGCTCGCGCGCGCGCGCTCCGAAGTGCCTCTCCTTATCTCCGTTCCACCTACAACGTGGACGCTTCTCCAGAGGAAGGAGAATTATTTAATCGCGAAGCGATTCGGGAGCTCGTGAAAATATCACCAAGAGCTGTCAGTCGTTCTATCAGTCCTTCGCGCTTGCGACAATTTGAAAAGGTGTATCAGCAAATTCTTAGGTCAACTTCTCGTGACCTGCAGAATGCAAGAAAGAAATGAGCGTACACTGAGAGAAAAGTGTATGATATTTGGAACTATAATGATACAGTAACTAAATTATAGTCCGAAATATCATATTTATATAGTAAGTATTACCATAATATCGGTGTAGTAATTACGATATAGGCATAGTATAACCGACCATATCATATTTTAACTAAGAATTATAGTAAGTTAAACTAAAATTATTATTGTTATGGATACAAATATAAAATGCTGGGTAAAGTAACTCTTTTATATAGTCAATATTACCAGAATATTTGCTAAATGATGACAGATGTAACTGTCATCTGCATTTATATGTGTATGAATATTAAATCTCACTATATTTGTGAATGAGAAATTACCGTATATGTGGTAAAAGTAAGTAAACAATTATTTAAGACAATCATTGACTATATATGGTTGACGCGAAAATGAACTAAATATAAAATATAGTGAGATTATAGTGAGAATTCAACTGTATTTTTCTATCAGTGAAGAAAGAAACGGGCGTGATTCAGAAATTTTGCAAGACTTCGCCATATGTCCGTGTGCACCCTCTAATTTTACAATTTTCTGAAGGAATAAATAATGAAAAGAATTAATGCTCTTTCGCAGCTCCAGCTGTATTAAGAGCAAAGAGCGTGCGCAGGAGGTAAATCTCTTTATTTATTACTCGCGTACTCGTGTGATGCATTTTTCATTTTGTCATTTATGAGTTATTTTCGCGCTGCGGACGGGGGGAAACAATCAAGGCAACGCAAGTGTGTGTGAAAGTGGATGAGCGAAAGTAAATGTTTAACTTGAATTCGCACGAAACTCTCTCGGCTTCAGGCAGGATGCAACGATAAAACTGTCGGGCGCGAGGGGTCGCCTGAGAAAGCGAAACTTGTACACTCCCCCGGAGTCGTTAAAAGAGTCTCGCGGTGTTTATGTTAATTCCGCGGGAAATATGTTCGCAGCGGACCCTAAACAGGCAGATTTTACTTCCTCCTCGGGTCGGGTTTTTCGCGCACACCCCATGCGGCTTATTTGCGCCCGGACATCTTGCGCCGCGGCTGTTGCACGTGCACGCGGCTACTAGCGTCATTATATGTTCCCTTTGAGCTTCAACACGTTTGTTGTATTCGTCGAGAGTCAGTTTAAAGTTTTACGCGGGTCTTTGCGCGAGGGTGCCGTTTTGTTTGTCGCTTTCGCTGATGGTCGGCGAGGGAAGCTCGGCCAAACGAGGTGTATACTATATATGTGCTTAGGAGACTCTGGCGCTTCGCCGTTTACAACGGAAGGAATCGGATCTTGATGAATCGTTATCGTTGTATCATATAAAATCAAACATATTCCAGACTTTTCCGCCCGCGGAATTATAGATATTGTTGCAACGAGGCGAGCGAGTTTGACGCTGAAAAATAATACATGTGACATAACGGGGCGAGAAGAACGTTTGTGAACAACACAGATTGCCGAGAAGTGACGAATTCTGCGCTTTTCATTATCGTTAGATACGAAACGGTCGAGACCACAAATACGGTGCGGTGTTTGCAAATACTGACTGGGCGTTTGTAAAAATAAGATCATGCGTCGGGGCATGTTGTACGTCACGTTTCAATAGCTGACATAATTCGCTTGTCACTTCTTAGAAACATTGCTGGCGCCGTTATCTTTTTTTTGCCACGCTTTTTTTTAGAAACTTATCGTCGGGCCACATTGCTTATCGCCATTTAAGCCTGTGCAATATTCCCGTATCAGTGATTCGGTTTAAGCACCAGCAAAATAAGACGTTCATTATAATTATTATTACAGGCGGAGCTGTGTGTCGTGGTTCGTCGAATCGGTCGCGAAAGCCATGTTCGTGTTGAAAATATCAAGTGACGTGAAAATCCGTGGACACATCCGGAGCGTCGAAATTTGCACGATATCACATTGTATAATATATAATTCGCAATAAAATAACATTGCATTAATGTCGCGGCTAACCATATCGGATTTCCTAAACTAAGCGGCGTTGCTTCATGAGAATTTACGGGAAAATTTAATCACGGGGCTACTCGGATGAAAATTTTCGATAAAATTAGAGCTCAAGGAGAGCTGGAGTCACAACACATGCGTTAATAATTACAGAAAAGAAATAAAGAGATCACACAGCAGTCGTGAGAAATAAATATTCACGGAATAGTTACAGTCCGATCGCAGAAATTTAGAGCGCCGTATATTGAGGCTGAATTAAATTCCGGATTTAAAACGCAGCTACTATGTTACGTTATCGCGCGGTATGAAATTTTTTAGCTCTCCGCTGATATTTATCACGTGTACGTCTACGCACATAAATGCGTGTTACATACGCATAACTCTCGCTCGAAACGGGCGTCTTTATCGGTTTAACCTCTTGCGCAAGATGTGAGAAACGTGTCCGATCATTAAACGCTATGACAGCAGAGTGGATTGGCAATTACAGTCGTACGGCTTTTTTGTGCTGCCTAAAGCCACATTACGAGAGCAGCGCGCCGTATGTTGTAAAAATTACGCCGTAATAACACAATGCTACGTATATATGGACACACATAACTTCGTGATGTAAAGAAACAAATAAGAAAAATAAACAAGATATCAGGCGTACAAGATATCGAATGTTATAAATGTCTCTCCGCGCGTTTTCTTCTCCCCTTTTTCGCCGTAAACACGAAGGATCACGGCAGATCGTAGCGCGATATCGCAGCTTCAGCTGCGGAAGCAATACCTGAAAAATGAAGGGCGAGAGTTCGTCTTCTTACCAGCGTCACGCTGGCGAAAATTCCATGGAGCGACGACGACGACGACGACGACGACGACGACGACGACGACGCTTCGATTCACGATGACGCATTTATAAATAAATGCGACGCACGAGCTCGCGGGAGAAGCGTGCAAGGAACAACACCCAGAGTCCAGGCGTTTTCATTCAGCGGCGGACGGGAGCGAGGAGCTGCCGCTTCCCATTTATGGCTATGCCCGACGCAAAATTGACACGAGATGCCTTTTAAAGGCCGTTATTGATTGGATACCTGCATCTGGGCGCCAACGAAAGGGGCAGCAGACGGTGAGGTGTTCAAATCGTACATTGTATCCGAAAATAGGACGCAACGGATGCGCGGGATATGCTGATGTTCCTCTTCTCTCCCCGGAGGAGGAAGTCGTCGTTATCGTCGTCGTCGTCGTCGTCGTCGTCGTCGTCGTCGTCGTCGTCGTCGTCGTCGTCGTCGTCGTCGTCGTCGTCGTCGTCGTCGTCGTCGTCGTCGTCGTCGTCGTCGTCGTCGTCGTGGCATACTTTCGCGAGACCGTGACCAGCACGCCGAGCACGCGGACCAGCACTCGTCCTCCGTGCGAGGGCAATCATCAAAATTCATGCAGTGTAAAAGGAGCCCGGCTGAAGTTGGATTGCAACTTTAATAAACGCCGAAGCAACTTTTTTCACTCGCGCTGCCGTTGGCGCGTCGTCACCGCGCGTCACGGCGGAACTTTTCATATTGAATTAGCGCGGCAACGCGCGAGTATCGCGGTATCACCGAGTTACGTCGCTTTATTGGAATTGGGTGCGTTTCTGACGTAATGCGATTTTA